TATGTATGTATAATGCTAAAATGGATAAATTAATGATGAATTAATTACTAGTTAATTTAATATTCATATTATTTGGGGTTAGTAACAGCTACAGTGGCTTAACCATAATAGTTGATAAATATTAATTTTAGTAGTAAATATAATTAATGATAAATTAGTAACTAGCTAATTTAACATTCATATATGTAAAGGTTATAGCTGCCAAAGTGACCCAACCATAATGGTTGATCAATATTAATCTTAGTAGCATACATAATTATAATATTTCATGAATTATTGATGCTTATGATTTGTTGTCATATTCATGAATATTGAATTTATTTAATCATCTGAAATAATTTCCCAAAGGGAATTGATCTTCAAGTGATTAAATGAATATTAAGAATTGCATGTATTTTTTAATTGGGTAGATATAAGATATCCAAATATAAATTATTTGTTTAATTAAATAATGTATCATCCAATGAAGTCATATATATATATATATATATATATATATATATATATGAATATATTTAAGCATCATTATTAGTATTTTGTGATTACCACACAAAAGGATACTATAGTTATACAATGTATTTATTTTCGAAAATTTAATGTACGCGTTTAACTCAAAATATTAATGTTGTGAATATTTTATCTTATTATGTTTGTTTTATTGTATTCCTTAATTCACATTTTATATGTTCTGATTCTTAATAGAAGTAACTTTTCGTAATAAAACGAGTAAGTTAAGTTCAAAACTCACATAAAATAGATTTTGATTTAGCATTTCAAATTGAAAAACTTACATAAAATAGATTTTGATTTAGCATTTAAAATTGAAAAACCTATTGTTATTATTGATACTTTCTAACCCTAGTTGCTCTGGTATTTTTATATGTTTTTTTAATATAGCAAGGCGAGGAATTTGACTTTAAAAGAAGGCGTAATCTTACGGTACCTAGAGTCCTCCACTTCCTGAGCTTATTATCTGGGATGATGACAGTGTGAATAACAAAGTCAAATTCTTTTGTGACTTGAATTTGTGTTGGTTACCTTTTTTGTTTTGTAGAAGCTTATATTAAGCAATCAAACCCTAAAAAATTAAGTAGTACGTGTTAGAATGGCAAACCTCTGGCAACTTGCAGGAGAGTGGTTTTTAAAATTCCTACCACCGCCCATCTTCCCGAACGACATCATCTATAACATTCTGGTGCTACTACCCGTCAAGTCTGTAGGTTGATTTAGATGTGTCTGCAGAGAATGGAACAAGTTGCTAAATGGGTTGGAATTCATCAAGGAGCACTTGGATTATAATCCTCACCATCGACTCATTCTGCCATCCTTGGATTATTATATCTCTATGGACTTGGAAGCGCCGAGCAGTTCTGTTGTGACTAGCCTCGATCACTTCCCATGGAATGGACATATTAATATCATTCTGGGCTCATGCAATGGCTTGTTGTGTAAATATGTTGGTCACAATATCATTCTATGGAACCTTTGTACGAGAAAATATAAGAAATTACCACCACCTTCAGGTTCAATAAGTTTGAGTATGTTTTATGGGTTTGGGCACGACATGTCCATTAATAAATACTACAACTATAAGGTGGTTAGGGGTAGGGGTAATGAAGTTGAGGTCTATCCACGAAAAACAAATTCTTGGAGAAGAATTCAAGACTCCCCTTATAAGATGATCAACCGAGCAAGATGGATACTTTTACATGGATTTCTGCATTGGTTAGCTATTGACAAGGACGATCGTCACGTCATTGCTTCTCTTGATCTAGCGAAGGAGGAATTCGGGGAAGTTATGTTACCGGATTTTTGCAAACTGTGCTTCATGTTTGAGTTGGGGATTTTGAATGGAATGTTTTGTGTGGTGTGTTGCAACAGTACTAGGGGTGCATGGGATGTGTATGCGATGAAAGAATATGGTGTGCCGGAATCTTGGTTTATATTGATCACCATGCCTCCTATTTTGGGTAGGACAGCCCTCCCTTTTTGGGGGGCATTTATGGGGATGCCTTTGTATTTGATGAAGAATGGTGAACTTGTTATGTAAATACAATGGAGCAAAAATTCGATTCATGATATAAGAAAAGGGACATTTGAGAACCCCATCGACATCGTATTTACCGTTCAATCAATTACTTATGTGGAGAGTCTTGAATCACCATGACTGAGCAAAGGATGAAGACATCAACTTCAACTAGCTACGATAACAATAAAAGGCCAAGCCTTTTCTCAGCTACTTGGTCAAACCACATTTACGAAAAAGTAGAAAGAGTTTCTTATTGTATTTATTTATTTATTTTTTTGAATACAACATTAGAAATTGATAAATACTGTAATATTTTTCACGAATTTAAATAATATTATATTTTCCCATCATCCTCTATCTTGTGCCGGAGATTCAGCTATTTTGCAAGTTACGATAATGAATGTCAGGGCGGTTCTAAATGCCATTTTATAATTTATATAACTAAATACAATCCTAAATAAATTCAAAATGTTACAACTTTAGAAAGAAAAGAAATTAAATGTAATAAAATTTAATTACTATGGTCATAAATTTTATTAACTTTATGATATCAAGAATTATAACTTGGTGCGACTTCTTCACTTTAGATCTCGATTTGCTTGTGTGTGCGCTTTTATCTCATTCTATTTGCTACTAGTGTGTGTGAAATTCTAATAGCGAAAGCATATAAAAACAGTGTTTGAATATTATAGCAGGTGCGTTTAGTAACGTTTTTGTTTTCTGTTTTTGTAGTCTTAAGAAAGCAAAAAGAAAATAGAAAACAGAAATAATATTTATTAATATTTGTTGTTGTCACAAATTTAAAAATATAAAACAAAAGCTGTGTTTAGTAATAAAACATATTTGTTACAAAATGTAAGTAAAATTCTTTAATTTATTATTATTATTATTTTCATAGCAAGAATTTTAGAAGTTATTGTTTAGAGAGGAGGGTAGATGACTTGAATACGAACTATCGGACATAGGGAGCAACCCAACAACTCAGGCTTTCATTAATATCAAAAAGCCATAAATCTAAAAAATACCCAATACATCATATGTATAAAATTAGATATACCAAGACAAAAATATTCCCAACAATTATGTATATAAATACATGATGTATACATTTATTATGTGATATATAATATATTTAGCATATAATAATTTATTATAAATAAAAAATATTAAATAATATATCTTATATGTAATAAAATATATATTGTGTTATAATATTGTAAATTAATTATAATTTAATATTTACATATAATATATTATAGATATGATATATAATAATATAAAATATCTACTGCTTAATAATTTAATAACAGTATATTCTATATCAAAAATTATTTTATTACAAAAAATAATTTACATTATTATTTAATATATTATATATTAAAATATATTTTTATCAAATAGAAAATAATATACAATATTTAATTTATTCTATATTAAAAATATATATTTTTATTAACATTTAATATGCAACTTAGTGTATAACACAAATAACATGAATTTTATTTAAAATGAATAGTGCCTGCGCAGTAACATTAGTGAAAACATTTCTGCGTTACAGTGCCGAAAACATAAGAAACATAATTTTGATGTTTTCTCTTTTCTTCACAAAAATTGAAAATGTTTTTTTGTTATAGAAAAACAAAAACATTTTATTGAATGTGATTTTTGTTTTCGTTTTGCCTTTTTAGAGATTGACAACAGAAAATAAGAAACGTTTCTCGTTACTAAACGCAGCTAAATAACCACTTAGGGTGCATTTAGAAACGTTTTCGTTTTCTATTTTTGCAATCTTAAGAAAGCAGAAATATAATTTTGCTTTCTTGAATGAGAATATAAAACATAAATAATGCTTATTAATACTTGTTGTTGTCACAAATTTGAATACATAAAATAATAACTGTGTTTAGTAATACAATATATTTGTTACAAAATGTACAAAATATTCTTTAATTTTTTAATTTTTAATTTTTTTTATTTCTATTTTATTTTTTTCATGGCAAGAATTTTAGAACTCAGTGATTAGAGGGGAGGGTGAGGGGGAGGGTAGATGACTTAAATACAAACTCTCGAACACAAGATGCAACCCAACCACTCAGGCACGACACTTGCTTTCATTAATATTAAAAAATCATAAATCTAGAAAACCTAATTTAAAATTATAAATCTTAAAAATACCCAATATATCATAAGTAAAAAATTAGATATACGAGGACAAAAACATTCCTACCAATTATGTAACACATGTATATGCATGATGTATACATTTATTATGTGATATATAATATATTTAACATAAAATAATTTATTATGAATAAAAAATATTAAATAATATATCTTATATGTAGTAAAATATATATTGTGTTATAATATTGTAAATTAATTATAATTTATTATTTACATATAATATAATATAGAAATGATATATAATAATATAAAATATTTACTACTTAATAATTTAATAACATTATATTCTATATCAAAAATTATTTAGTCACAAAAAATAATTTACATTATTATTTAATATATTATATATTAAAATATATTTTTATCAAATAAAAAATAATATATAATATTTAATTTATTCTATATTAAAAATATATATTTTTATTAACATTTAATATGCAACTTAGTATATTACACAAATAATATGAATTTAATTTGAAATGAATAATGTCTGTATAGTAACAATAGTGAAAACATTTCTGCTCTACAGTATCGAAAACATAAGAAACATCATTTTGATGTTTTCTCTTTTTTTCACAAAAATTGAAAATGTTTTCTGTTATAAAAAAATAAAAACATTTTATTGGAAGCTATTTTTGTTTTTGTTTTGTCTCTTTAGAAGTTGAAAACAAGAAACGTTTCTCGTTACTAAAACCAGCCATAAAATTTTAGATTATTTTTATTAATTCTTCATTTTTCCTTTCACAAATGTAAACAAAACATCCCCATTTTTCTTTCCTGTGTCTTTTTTATACCAATCCAAACGAAATGTTGAAAAAAGAAGCAGCACCAAGAAGACTAAGAAGAAAGAAATGGGAGTTTTGACTGCATTTTACCCGACCCGATTCTTCCCGACCATCATCAAAAGAGAAACCAAACGAGCCCTAGATTTTACGTCGCTTTTCGTTGTTGAAATCGAAAGGCGAAAATGCCCAAATCTCGTTTAAATCTCAGTCTAATATTAATTCGTCTGTTCATCCTTCAATTTTCATCCACTGCATCAGCAATCAGGTAAAATTTTCTCTTAACCCTCTGTTTGGATCCCGGAAAATAGTTGAAACTGTAAAGAAAATTCGTAATCACTCATCCTTTTGTTGTTTCCGTTTTTAAGAAAATTAATGAGCTCATCTCAGCTACATAATGAGTATTCCGATATTAAAAATTTTGGTTTCTCTTATGTTCCTGCATTTTCTTAGCAACCAAACAGTGTAATGATGCATTTCTTGTAAAGGAAATTCGTAATGAAGCATCCCTTGATTGTTTCGGTCTTTGAGAAAATTGAAGAGCTCATCTCAGCTACATAATGAATAACCCAAGATTAGACATTCTTGGTTTCTCTTATGTTCGTGCATTTTCTCAACAACCAAACAGTGTAATGATATTGTCAGAAGTAAAGAGAGAGAAATATATGATTGTATTGAAGTAGTGAAGATTGTATGTGCTATACACACACACACACACGAGAAGGCTTGGGGTAGGCGGGTGATGAACAACCGACATGGCAGGTGATGTGGCACTTTTGCTGGCACTGCTGCTAACTGTGTCTGACATGACAACTGTCGTGGCAGGTGACGCATTACTGCTAGCACCGCTATTGATGTGCCTTGGAGGCTGATTGGGCGGCTAAATAAGGCTTTTACTGATTATGGACTTGAGACTGAAGTTGGGATGCGGAAGCATAAGTTTGAAGGTTGATCGCCGCCGAGGATGGGGCTGATGGTGCCATCCCCTGTGGTGATTACGATAAACTGGTAGATTATTTACCAGATATCGAAAAGCTCTGATATCATGTTAGAAGTAAAGAAAGAGAAATATTATATTGTATTGAAGTAATGACGATTACATGTCCTATATATATATATATGAGAAGTTTTGGGGTATGTAAGTGATGAACAAGTAACCTATAGATACTAATATGGTAGGTGTAATTATATATGATAATTTGTAGTATGCAAGAAACCTAGGTGGTAGGTAAAATGGTAAACTTGTAATCTAACAGATATATTCTCGTCATTTCTTGAATAATTGTTGAATGCAAGTAGCTTCGTAGAAGTAATTTTATGCAAATTCTTGGCATTTTATGCTCAATTCTTGTAATAACCGTGTTAGAAATATTAGAGTTTTGGATATTAGTGAACTTTTTTAATCTTCTTTAAGTGTTGGCCCTGATTCTTATTGTTTAAGAAGTGCTTGAAAATAATTTGAAATTTATATAATTTTCTCTACTCTTTTGTTATTATAAATGTAGATTGAATTTCATAGTGATTCTCATAATTGGTGTGCAAATTTATCTTGCATTAAGCTCAAAACTGTAATAAAGTAAAAAAGTTTCAATTTTCTAAGTTATTCTTGTAATGAGTATACAATTCTCTGATTTTAGTTGTAATACGTTGCTTTATTCCTTAATTTCTTCCAATGATTACGAGAACAAAAATCTGGAGATTCTGGACAGCATTGGTCAAATTACTTTTGTCAGCATAAAATATTGTGATCAAATTATTTACTCTCTCTTCTCTAATCTAGTTGCATTCATTTGTTTGATAAAGTTATAAATTTTCTCAAATATAGATTATTGTAGAACATGGCTATGATGTGGCATTTATTATGTGATTTTCTGCAGTATTTTGATATATTATTTTCATCATTGTCCAATACGTAATTGTTCTCTTCTTACTTTCCTTTTTATATATTTATTTATTATTCCTTGTCTTGTGAAACATCAAAGATCTTATTTTTATCCACAATTATGGTGAAGCAACCCTTTCTCAAATGTGACATCCTTAGTAATTTGAGATTAGCATGTGTTCTGGCCACCTCAATGTTGAGAGCTCTTGTTTGGAAACTTTATTTGTGTGTATCAATTTCATAGATATTAAAAGAATATCTCTTTGTGTGAATAATGTCAAAGTTTGGGTTTGTGTCCAGTCTCCTCCTCCCAAAACCCTCAACTAACAAGTACGCTACTGTATAATGACCCTTTTGAACCTGTTAAAATAATTCCTAAAGGCTTGTTGCCTCACATATATACTTGACTACTTGTCAAACCAATTTCATTACTTGGAATTTACACTGCATTATATATATGTTCACTAAAAGAGAAGACGTTCCAACGTTTGAGGTGCATTGCTTACAGTTCATATGAGGATGTGTCAAAAATTTTTCTTCTTCTTTTCTTTTAGCCACACGTGATTTACCTCTACTTTTGCAGAAGAGGCAAGGATAGATAAAATTATGGTTAGGTTTATTTATTTATTGATAATGTATAATGTTTATGATTATTTTTGTATTTTCTTATTTTACCTTTTCTTTAGGGTTTGCCTTTTATCTTACCTATATAAAGGTGTAAAGTATTCAGCTTTTGATTATTGAATACCATTGTGGATTTATATTACTCTTCTATGTGTTCTTCTTTCCCCATTTCTTACATTCTCTTCCCCTCGGTATGTCTAGCCTATTCTTTCATCTATTTTCTCATCCCCTTCATATTTCTCCCTGCTTCTTCTGACCTTATCTGATCTTCTTATTTCTGATCTTGTTTCTTTCTGGTACCGTGTCAACTTGCTATCAAAGCTACAATGTCCTCGGTTTCATAATACTTTTGTTCTACATCAATTGGTTGGTCTTACATCATATCCATTATGGAATACTGGTAGGACTCCTTTGTAGGAGTATATTTACTCTTAAACTAACACTAAAACCAAAAAGGCTTCGAGTAAGTGAAAAGGATTTTTGCGCTATGATCTGTTGATATCCTTACAACACTTCAATGGCCTAAATTATCAAAAAAGAAAAAAAAAAAAACTGATGAAGTGAGGCTTAAGTGTGTCTTTGTTCAAATGGTGGAGAATCAATCATAGAGAAGTTCCTCTAGAAAGCCTAGAGGTTAAAGGTTAACCAAAACATTTGATACAAGTTGTGTTTGAGTGGTTTGTATTATCAGATGTGCCATTGAACTTATAAATTTCTTCCTAATATTAACCAAATAGAGGCCACAATCTTGCTTTTTCCTAATACCCCCCAAACCTAGAGTTCTGGATGAAGTGAAGGAAGAAATGCCAGTTTGAGGCACCCAAATATTATCTCCCATATGGAAGAAGCAATTTCTATTGTGACGAGTCACCTCAAAATACATAGACAAATGATTAATTGTATTATGTCCTCAAACATACCGGAAGAAGCGAAGTGATAGCTCTATTCGGTATTTTATATTTGAGTATGTCTCTTATATGAAGCTCCTTAGGGTCTATTACACAACAGAGTTTTGACAGAGGGAGGAACCTTATACATCCAAACCATCTTCGCAACATGGGAAAAAAGGAGAGTTGTGGGAACACAAGACTTACTAAGGGGGTTTCAAGTGGAGACATCAGTGGGTCAATGGACCACATCCTTCATAATGCAAAAATGAGACATATGCACAATTTTAAAATTAAAATATGTCAAAAGTGAAACAAATCTTATAATAACTTCCATGTCAATTAATTAGTGACTAAAATTGTCATTTAAAGAAAGTTGATACTGGGACTGGACATCCATACCCATGATTATAGTAGTCTGAGAACAAGTGAGAAGAAACGGGGCAGGAATACAGTAAAAAATTACAGTACTTACTGAAAAATATATAATGATATATCACTAAAGATAATTGGAGTGATTTTTCAACCTATTATAATTAAATATTTCATATGTTATTTAAATGTAAAACACGTTAACTAGTGATATTTTTATTTTTTTTCATGTGGACACTTCAAAATATACGAAGTTTGGCATGACGTGCGTATGTCTCAAATTTTTAGTATTGGTCATAAGTGCTTACTTTCAAATATGTACCAAAGATACGTCAGTGGTGAAAGAAGAAGAAACTTTCCTTCTTCAATAGAATGAAATTTATTAGATTGACCGTGTTTAACATGAATATATTGGATTGAATGAGATCCCTGTATGAGACATGCTATGTTAGATAGTTTGGGTTTTGCCCGGGGATATTGATGGAGAGGTAAAACATTGGTGCTTTTGTTGATTCAGTTTTGCCCTTACATCCAGTGAATGAGTTTTATAACTTATTTGTGAACCCGACTTTTAGACACCTACATATATTTAATATAACAAATTAACAAATCATGTGTAGCACTTTTCAATATTCATTGTCAAAAGTATTTGTGAAAATCTTTTCTTGGCCATGCAGAAAAGAGAGGAAATAAAACCTGAATTTTGTATTTCATTTTTGGAAAACTAAATCTGACTTTACCGAATAGTTTTAATATCTTAGTTCAATGGAGAATTTCATGTTCTCAAGTTCTCAATAATGTCGGGTTAAATAGTTGAAAGAACTATAATCCTTTAATGATGAAAGAACTATAATCCTTACTCTTCAAATATTTTGGCGATAAACATAGCTTTAATGATGGGAAGGCTTTGAAGGCAAAGAAAGATCAAATCTTGGAGGTGTTTGAGGTTGGTGTGGTTGCTGTATCATTCCAAAATTTCTTGTCATCCAAACTGTACATAATTTTTTTATAAGTAAAATTCCATTAAAAAGCACTAAAAAATACCTAATTGTACATAATGCATGAGCAGAGTGCTTATGAATTGTTAGTAATAGGTTCATGATGTGATATACTAAGCTTTCGAAATTTATTAAATCTTGTATATTGTAAGTTGTTTTTTATGATTTTCTACTCCTTATGAGACAATCATCATATATCCATATTCTACTCGTTATGCTTGTTAATTTCTTTTATATTGAGTGAAATTAAATTTATCAAAAACAATTCTTTTAAAGTTTTTCCCCTTTTCCTTTTTCTTTTTTGAAATTGTTATCCTAAGTTTGTTTTACTTTTTCATTATAGGAAGGATATCAGCCTCCAAGACAATCACATTTGCAGAACTACAGTTCAAGGAAGATACTTGCTCTCTGATGATAATGGTATGTCTTTTTCCTTTCTCAAGTCATGATTCAGTTGCTATTTGTCGTACTTCCTAATCTTTCCATTGTTTGAAAAGGAAAATGTACATTTTATGTACTATAATATCCAGGGGTTGGATCAGTTCTTCACCCACATCATATTTTTATATTGGCTGATACATGTTTTTGTTTTCTTAAAATTTATGTTGTTTTCCTAGTTAACCCATAATATGTTTTAAAACTACATTGGAGCTCCTTTTGTTAAAAAATATAATTGCAAAAAATGTTCTGCCATGTCATCAAAGTGTCCCTGATGTGTCCATGTTGTGTTCAACCAAAATATATAAATAAAACATCAAATTCCAGGACATTTATGTCAGACATGTGTCCGGCTGTGTCCCATGCATGCCGTCCGTCACGGCCCATCACCCCTTGAGGAGTGTCCATGCGTACTAGCTTAGAACTTCCATTTTTTTTTTTTTTTTTTTTTTTGTGAAAAAAAGAAGAAGGTTGAGTCTTATTCTTATGTGACTACTCTATTAATTAATTTTGTCTTTTGGAAGGTTCAGTTCTGGACTTCACATTTTCGATTCTTTACACCTAATTCCTACCATCTTTCTAAAGTTTAAATTCATCCTGTATATGTTCCACGCATAGTAGGAAAAGTTAGCCTTTGACAGTATTTTGCGGGAAGTGGCTTATAATGGGACGTGTTAGCATTAACAATGGGACATTCTCTTTTAAATATAAAACCTTATGCATTATTTGGAAGATTGACACGCCTTGGTGAGTGACTGCTATCATCTTAGTTGTAAATAATGAAATAGAAGTGAAGAGAGAAATGAAACAAGAAGAACACATATATTACGTGGTTCAGCCACTAGGGCCTACATTCACGGCACAAAGATCCCAAAGGGCTACATCACTTTTATAATACTCTCTCAATTCATTCCCAATAATAGGAAACAACATCAATTACAGAAAGATTTTCCTCTACTGATTCCTCCATTAAATCTTCAATACTCCCCCTTAAGTTGGAGCATGAATGCCCAACTTGCCATTGAGACGACGAGTAGTAACAAGTGTGAATGATGAAGAGAGAAGAGAGAAGAGAGAAGACGAAGAACAATGCTACCGAACACACTGACAACCCAAACAAGTCAACAAAAATTTGGCGGAGACACGGCAAAGGCGAAGAACATTCTCATCGAACAAACCGGCAGCCTAAACAAGTCACAAATAGCACCGAAAAACCTTAGCATCATTTCAGATGCTAAGGGAATACCCAAAAATAAGGGTCTGAACTTAGGAAGAGAAATTAGGTTCTGATACCAAGTTGTAAATAATGAAATAGAAGTGGAGAGAAATGAAACAAGAACACATATAATACGTGGTTCAACCACTATGACCTACATCCATGGCACAAAGAGCCCAAAGGGCTACATTACTTTTATAAAACTCTCTCAATTCATTCACAATACAATGGTGGAGGCTCCGTTATATAGGAGAAGAAATTATGAGAATGGAAAGAGATAGAAAATAGGAAACAAGGAGGATTTTTCTCCACTGATTCCTCTAGTAACACTAAATCTTCAATAATAGGAAATAACATCAATTATAGAAAGATTTTCCTCCACTGATTCCTCCATTAAATCTTCAATAGTCTTGATAGTGGTAGATCATCCTGGGTTGTTCGTTTGTGAGGTATTTTCACGATTGGGAGATTGAGGAAGTAGTTGGTTTTTTGGAGTTGCTGTATCATCAAGAGATTGCTAGTGGAGTCCCTGATTCTTTGGTATGGGTCCCCTCTTCTAGGGGTCATTTTGAGGTTCGCTCATACTTTAGATGTCTTAGGATTTCTCGAGGAGATGCGTTCCCATGGAAGACTATTTGACGTTCTAAGGCCCCCCTCAAGATGGCTTTCTTTGTTTGGACATCTATGTTGGGAAAGATATTGACCCAGGATAACCTTAAGAGGAGGAGACAAGTTGTGGTCAACTGTTGTTGTATGAGGAAACGGTAAATCATCATCTTTTACATTGCCCAGTGGCTCGGGATTGCTAGGCTTTGATGTTTGGTTTGTTTGGAGTTTAGTGGGTTATGCCCAGATCTACTAGAGGCTTGATTGAGGCCTGGAGAGGCTGTTTAGTGGGGGCTCATGTTCAGGGTTTCTGGAGGATTACGCCTTTGTGTGACCGGTGGTGTTTATGGCTTGAACGAAATAGGAGATACTTTGAAGGGAAGGAGACTTCTATTGGTGTGCTGAAATTCTCCATTATTAGCTCTATTTTGTGTTGGGTTCTTTGAGAGATTAGAGGCCCTATTTGGTCTTGCGTAGCTTTTGAGGGATGCGTTCCCCTTTTTGAATGCTTTTTTTTATTTATGCGATCTTACTTATCAAAAAAAAAATCTCTTGGCATTTATCAGTGAGAAAATACAACTCTAAATGTTTGAACTTCACTACATCAGGGTAAGAGTGAACAATGGGACATGAACCCCTGACTTCTGAGCTGAGAGCCTAGCCTGTTATGACCCGGACTACTAGGATGATGGAAAAGCCTAAAGGCTTTTGTAACAGTAAAGGTGGATTGTTGCCATCCCATTTAAATGACATTACTTAGGTACTCATGTCGAATAAGGTAATCAAATTGTGTGTTTCACTTTTTCAAGTGTAGCCTTTGTAAATTCGGAATTGATCAAGGTAGATCTCCGGTTTCCTTTAATAGCTCTTTTAGTATGGCTGTAGTTGGTAGCTGAGTCGATCTTGGAGGCCTTGGCCATCTGTTTTGATAGGTCTTCAATTTTGAGTTGCATCAAGTTTATTTTTTTTTATTTTTATTTTTATTTTTTTTTTGCATCTTAATGTATTTCAAATTTTCAGAATTGCAAATTACAAGGTTATGGTGCATTACCATTACTTGCTGTTACAGCATTTCTCATAACCAGTGTTTTAAAATGTAGGTCATGTATGCAATGCACTGTCGGTGGATCCAGAATCTCGCTGCTGCTCTGGAAAAGGGGAGCAATTCTCTTGTCAGTGAGTTATCTCTAATGGATTCATATAGGCTCATATTGAGCAAAAATATCGTACAGATTGACAACATGTTTTCTTCTTGCTTGCAGTGGTTGCAACCTTGTTTCACAATGCTGCAACTCATATGAATTTTGTGTTTCATGCTGCTTGAATCCAGAAAGGGTATTTCATTGAATTTTGTTTTCATCTATTTTTGACTTAGATCTATAAAAAAAAATCTATTTTTGACTTAGTTTTCTAAAGCCTGCAACATGGAACTTACCGCTTGCATCATGAAATTTGTTCTGTAGACACGAAAGGAACTAGCACTGAAGGTGAAGATAGCTAAGCCAGTAACTGCAGGTAAACTTTTATCTTTTGGTGGTTCGTATTTCCGTTCCTTACGAGTTACGACAACTTGAATTTTTTGAGTTGCTCAGCTATCACTTGATGGATACCGTCTAGGAGATCTTATGTATTAATCCAATCAGATTATTTCCCGTTTTCCCCAACTGGCCTAGCATATGAAAATTTAACAGTTTTGCAAGTGATGTGGATAAGTGGGATAATGACATTGATCCTGATTAACTTTTGACTAGGTGCTTTTGTCCCCTACTCACCTCCACATGTTTTTGGGGTTATAAAATTAGGAAAACATAGGTTTCCCTTTGGGGTATTCTTTCAATGACAAAAAATTATTATTATTTTTTGGTAGGGACCTATTCAAGTGTTTTTGATTTCTGTGCTGGGAGGTGTCGTCATAATTCCGAGAGTGTGGTATGTAATTATCCCTTGGCATTTGTTATTGGTTCTCTGTTACTGTGGTCATTTACATTATTCGACTTGAAGATTATGAAATGAAATTTGTAAGTTATGACTATTAATTTTGGTCCATGCTAATGCACCATGACAGGTATTTGGAATGGTCTTGTACATTAGGCATAATTTCTGATTTACAAATTTATTATATACTTTTCGGGCTTCACATGTAGATCAGTGCTTCAACCATTTTCCTAAATCTCATGTTTTCTTTTTATAACCAAGTGCCAAAAGTACTTCACTCTTTCAAAATATTCACAACCATTTTTCTAAGGAGGCTTTGTTACTACGGACCATCCCAAGAGAGCTTCCCTGTCCCTGACCAAGGAATAATTTTTTGAGTCTTCTCACTTTTTGCTATTGAAATATGGGCATCTTTAAGATCGATATAAATTAGTTAGGTATTGCTTAGATAGGACTCGATGATTGTGACTCTTACCTTCTGAATAAAAAATAAGCTCTTTTTTACCAACCTCGCCAAGCCTCAATCAAATTTATGAGGGATCTGGGCATAACCCACTGAACCCCAAACAAATTCAACAGTAAGACCCAATAATCCCAAGCTACGGGGCAATGCAGAAGAAGGTGATCAATCGTTTCCCTATCTCTCTTACACACGTAACACCAATTGGCCACTACCTGTCTTCTCCTTCTTAAGTTGTGCTGGGTAAAGATCTTCTCTAACACCGAAGTCCACGCAAAAAAAGCCACTTTGAGGGGGGCCTTGGATCTCCAAATAGCCTTCCATGGGAAAGACTCCCTATGGGCTTTTGTAATGCACCTGTAGAAAGACCGAACACCAAAACAACCCTGGGAAGAAGGAATCCACACCCATGTGTCAGAAACATCGCCCGTAAACTCCTGTCTTTACACCATTTCCAAAAGACCAATGGCATCCTTGATCTCCCAATCCTGAAAGTGTCTCAAGAAACGAATGTCCCAAACTGTTCTCCCACCATCAAGACAATAGCAGGCAGTCACAAAAGCTATGCCTGTCCACAGCAATCCTAACAAGCCTGGGAAAAGTGATGGCCAGAGAATGATCACCATACCAAACATCCTCCCAAAAGCGGATCCTCCTCCCATCCCCCACTCGAAATCTAATGTGTTTTGAGAATTCATCCCACCCTTTCTGGATGGACTTCCAAACCCCAACACCGTAAGAGATACTCACCTCCCTAGAACACCAACCACCTCTCTCCTCCCCAAATCTGCTCGCAACCACCCTTTTCCAAAGTCTATGCCTCTCCATTCCAAATCTCCACAACCACTTGCCCAAAAGGGCCTTATTAAAAGGTACCAGTCTTCTAATGCCCATACCACCAAAACGAATTGGACTGCAACCCTGATCCCTACGAACCAAATGAAACTTGAACTCATCCTCCCTCCCACCCCAAAGGAAATTATGTTGTAGCCTCTCAATCCTCTCACCCACTGAACAAGGAATCTGAAAAAGAGAGAGAAAATAGGTTGGAAGACTCGACAAAGTACTCTTCATCAAAGTGACTCTCCCACCTTTTGAGGGATACTGCATCTTCCACCCAGCCAGCCTCCACTCAAACCTTTCCACAACAGGGTCCTAACATCCCACTCGCCTCTACGGCCCCCCAAGCGGCAACCCTAAATAAGAAATAGGAAAAGAGCCAATGCTGCAACCTAGAATGTCAGCAAGAGTGGAGATCTCTGGAACCTCCCCAACGGGAACCAAGACACCTTTACCCACGTTCACCTTTAAGCCGCAAACGACTTGAAACCGTGTCAAAAGAGTCAAAAGACAACTCAAGTACCTCATCTGAGACTCATCCGCATCACAAAAAACGGAAGTGTCATCTGCAAACATCAAATGGGATATACCCACCTGACTAGAAACATCTTTGCCCATCTGAAGACCTCGCACGAAGCCCAAATCCACAACCCTTCTCATCAATTTGCTGAGGGCTTCTATCACAACTAGGAACAAAAAGGGAGAAAGTGGATCCCCCTGTGTCAAGCTCCTTGAACTACTAAAGAATCTCGTGGCTGAGAAGAGATACAAAACTCGACCCATCTCCTCCATCTCTCACCAAATCCCATCCTCTCCAATAAATAGAGAAGGAAGCTCCAACTAACATGATCGTAAGCCTTCTCAATGTCCAGTTTGCATAAAACGCCTGGGATCCCACTGCACAGTCTAGAATCCACATACTCACCTGCAATAAGAATAGAATCTAAAATTTTACGGTCCCCAACAAAAGCGTTCTGAGAATCTGAAATGACCCCATCCAAGACATCCCTCAACCTCAACGCAAGGACCTTGGCAATTAATTTTTAAATGCATCCCACCAAACTAATAGGCCTGAAGTCCTCCCCCCCCCCCCCCCCCCCCCCCCCCCTCTCAGGAATGAGCGCAATGAAAGTGGCATTCAAACTTTTCTCAAAATGGCCCTGAGAGTGGAAATCATGAAAAGTACCCATCACCTCTCCTCTAACCACCTCCCAACTCTGAAAAAGGAACCTCATAGTGAAACCATTGGTGCTTTGTCTCCATTAAAGCTCTTCAGCGCATTCAGCACTTCCCCTTCAGAAAAAGGCCTTTCCAAACCTACACATTCCGCACTAGAAATCGTATCGAACTGCAGACCCCCAAGCAAAGGTCTCCATCTACGAGTCTCTGTGAACAACTTCTGATAGAAAGAAGCAACCCCCTTACAGAACTCATCTTCCTTGCACATCTCTCCTTCCACACAAGAAATCTTCATTCTTTCTCATCCCATCTCAAAACCCTCAATGGCATTAGGATTTTGGAGATTCTGTTGTAGAAAATAACCAGTAGAGCACATGCACCGCTGTTTTGAACAAAAAGGGTGACAATGATATTCATGCCTCATTCTCTAGACACATCCCTTAGGTTTTCCATTCACTAAGACTTGTGAAGTTTATTGATCCTAAGCATCCCTGGAACAAAGGCCACCATTTGACTTCAAAGCCTTTCTTGGCCACAAAATTCTAGTCCACACAGCCATGGGCTTTTCCAAAGCCACTTTGAAAAGGATCCCTTATTAACTTTCTTACAATCTTCAACCACCTCGTTTGCCACTAAAATCGCTTCTAAAGTTTGCCTACCTCTATTGCGAGCCCATTGGAAGAGAGTTTGTCTCTTGGATAATGCTTCTTAATCTTCTTAAGAGCACCCTAGTTACAAAATTGTAAAAACTAGCAATAAAGCTAGTGGGCATAATCATTGATTCTTAGCTATTAAGACAACTAATAATTGCATTGGTGCTTCTATTAATAATGCTCTTGAGTGAATTTTTTTGGAACACTTCAAGAAATGTCTTCTTTTATAATCTTGGCATTGCCATTGTAAAGCCATTCGGATAGGGTGACGATGATATTCATGCCTCATTCTCTAGACACATCCCCTTAGGTTTTCCATTCACTAAGACTTGTGAAGTTTATTGATCCTAAGCATCCCTTAAACAAAGGCCACCATCTGACTGCAAAGCCTTTCTTGGCCACAAAATTCTAGTCCACACAGCCATGGGCTTTTCCAAAGCCACTTTGAAAAGGATCCGTTATTAACTTTCTTACAATCTTCAACCACCTTGTTTGCCACTAAAATCGCTTCTAAAATTTGCCTACCTCTACTGCGAGCCCATTGGAAGAGAGTTTGTCTCTTGGATAATGCTTCTTAATCTTCTTAAGAGCACCCTATTTATGAAATTGTAAAAACTAGCAATAAAGCTAGTGGGCATAATCATTGATTCTTAGCTATTAAGACAACTAATAACTGCATTGGTGCTTCTATTAATAATGCTCTTGAGTGAATTTTTTTGGAACACTTCAAGAAATGTCTTCTTTTATAATCTTGACATTGCCATTGTAAAGCCATTCGGTCCTGATGATTGATTTCTTGATATAACAATGGCCTCCTTAGTTCCTCCTCCTCAAATGGACTCATGTCATAGAGCAGTAGTGGCAGGGATGAGACTCCACTTGATGCCTTCAAGCTTAGGTCTCCTAGAGTCACTCCAATATGAAGCTCAGTAAAGAAACCCTAAGAATGTCGTTGCAAATGAGCTTTTGATCATCTAATAGAACACCCTGTTCCATTTCCAGAGATTTGATGAGATTCTAATTTTGTTTACCAATGGCAACACCTATGGAAAAGCTTGGTGTCTATGGCTTGAAAGAAATAAGAGATCCTTTGAAGGAAAGGAAAACAATTCTGGGTTGAAGTTCTCCATTCTTAGCACCCTTTTTTGTTGGGTGCTAGGGAGAAATTGTAAATCCGTGGATGAGCTTGTAGAGTTTTTGGATTTATTGAGGGTTTAGAGGTCTTATTTGGCCTTGTATTGCTTTTGTGGGACGCAATCCCCTTTTAAACACTTTTAATGAATTCTTACTTATCAAAAAAAAAAAAAAAAATTGTTGCCACTGTTCTCTGTCAATTTCCTGTAGTTTGATTCCAAAAATAAATGTCATTGGAGTTGATCAAATTCTAATGTTTGATGAAAATCACAAGGGAACATTGGGCCCAAGCATAATGCCTTGAATGGTATGTCTTGTTCTTGGATTTACTAGGGCAACTTATTCTCAACTCTGTGGAACACCCTAATGAAGTAGCAGTGTCAATTACAAAATTATATTTTATAATGTTTTTTTTAAAAGTTGTGGTACTATATCTGAAATGAGTTTGAATTTTCAGGTTCATGAAAATGCTTACCTTAGCGATTTCCATCACTGTTTTTCTCTGCCATCCAACTCGTCAGGTGAGACCTGAAGATCATTGTGGTATTCAAGACTTATGTTGACTAATTTGATTAAAATACGATCTATTTACCCAATAAAATTTTATTGGCCGACTATTCCTTTAGTTATTGGTGATCAAAGTATTTGTGGTTGCATTATTTTGTTTGTGCTGAATGAGGGACTAAAACATTTTGAAACTCTTGAGAGAATGAACATAACTCGAGTACTTTTGGCCATGATTTAATTATCACGTCACATTAAATTATGTTTCTATCATTCTCTTATTAAAATTGTTTCTACCATTTGTAAATTATTTTTCCTTGTGAATTCTTCCATTTTCTTTTTCTATGTTTGCTTAGATCTGTTTATACTTTATAATAGATAGTATTGATTTTCAATATTCTTTTTTAAAGACAATTTTTTTTTTTTTTTTGATGAGCAGATCTTGGACTTCTTTTTCTTAATTAGGTGCAGCATTAATTGGACTCACTTCATCAGGATGATATTTATAAAGTGCATACTTAAATTTTATAGCCCTATTTTTTTTGATAAGAAAAATGATTGGGTGCTCTCCGTTTGTTATAAATAGGAGACTCTCACGTGCATTGGATCAATAAACTTTTTAGTAGTTGCTATTTCATCCAAGTAGATGGGTCCACCTGTTGACACTAGTCATGCAGCTCAAGCCTCTACTTGTTTACACTCTAATGGTGCAATAAGTAATTTGACCTAACTGAGAATAATTCTGAATTCAGATTTCTTTTATCAATTTCATAATGGGCTCCCAATGCTGTGACGCTATTACTTTCCCTGCAACGTGCCTCAAGGCTTCCAAGAATGATTTATTTCCCATGGTTATTACTAAATATAAGAGTAAAACACATTTGTCATCGTGGGAACCTTTTTGAGACCAAGTTTACCTCAAAGTGTCTGAAAACCAATTTTGGTAAGCATGTAAAGCAACTTTCCTCCAACGTAGTGTTCAATAATCCAGTCTTTTCACAATTCATATCCTTCTAACTCATCAGACGAAAAAAAAAACCTTTCCATCTTTTGAGGTAAGTTTTGTGCGCTCAAGACTGGCATCCTCCATATTTCGAAATTAGTTTGCTTATATTTAAATAAACTGCTCCAATCTTTAGAATTCATTCTCAGGTTGGGTCTAGAATTTGGTTCAAGCATCTGATTTACTTGAGAGACAATAATAAAATGGGAATTGATTGGACCACCCAAAGTCAAAAGTGACTTAGGGCAATGTAACGACCCACTCCACCACATGGTATGATATTGTTTGCTTTGGGCCTGAGCTCGCACGGTTTTGCTCTTGGGCTTTACCCCAAAAGGCCTCATACCAATTGGAATGACACACCTACATATAAGTACTTCATCTTTCCTTTACCCAGGCGATGTGGGATTGTGCACTCGTAGCTCACCAGTGTGGTAGTCTGCCAGTGTCTCGTACCTGCCTATGGCACACTCGCCTACAAGGTCATCACAATCCACCCCCCTTGGAGGCCCGACGTCCCCGTCGGCACACTTCCGGCTGGGTCAGGCTCTGATATCATTTGTAACGACTCATTCCACCACATGTTATGATATTGTCCACTTTGGCCCTGAGCCCGCACAGTTTTGCTCTTGAGCTTTACTCTAAAAGGCCTCATACCAATTGGAGTGACACACCTACATATAAGCAGTTCATCTTTCCCTTACCCAGGTGATGTGGAATTGTGCACTCGTAACTCGCAAGTGTCTCGCACCTGCCCATGGCACACCCGCCCACAGGGTTATCACAATCCACCCCTCTTGGAGGCCTTACTTCCCCGTCGGCACACTTCCGGCTGGGTTAAGCTCTGATACCATTTGTAACGACCCACTCTACCACATGGTATGATATTGTCCGCTTTGATTCTGAGTCCGAACAGTTTTGCTCTTGGACTTTACCCCAAAAGGTCTTATACCAATTGGAGTGACACACCTACATATAAGCACTTCACATTTCCCTTACCTAAGCGATGTGAGATTGGGCACTCGTAGCTCGCTAGTGTGGTAGCCTGCCAGTGTCTCGCACCCGCCTACAGGGTCAGCACAAACAAAAATATCATTATACACGCCAGAAGTTAAAATTGAGTAACACACGGTGCATGATTCTGATGGGGGTTGGGATGGAATTCAGTGCCCTACGGTTGCGCAACACCAAAAGTTAAAAAATACGTAGAGAACCACCTCTCTAATGCATAAACTTCAACTAGAAAGATTACCGCCTTCTGAGACGCATAAAAAAGCGACCACACAGTCACCACACAAATCCTAGAAAGCAATAAAGTAGACCATACCAGAATCGTGAACGACGAAGAAAAAGCTACTGTTACAAACCTTGCAAACACAAAAAAAAAAAAAAAAAAAATTAAAAAAAACACCAATCTAGACTGCAATAGATGAAAAACAGTTGGATCCGCGGTATGTGTGGATGTGATTAACACTACTTCCTTGCAAACAAATCCCATCTTGGAATCTCTTCAAAACCCTTCACACCCTTAGGGTTTCAATTACACACCTAGAGAGCTTTACAAACCATGCTGTGATACCATGTTGACTTTAAGACATAATCAAATCAAAAGTAAGCGATAAAGAAGAAGAATAAAAAGAGAAGAAAGTGGATAAGAGAAAAAGGGAGAAATAATGAAAGAATACTTTCATCGTTCTACCACATTCTATTTATAATAACAAGTTTTAGAAATTACACATAAGCCCCAACATTATATAAGTAATAACAAATAAGCCATTGACAACATCTTCCTCACTGCAATAGCACCATGTACAATCACATCTCTGATGAAGTGAAACCTAACATCAATGTGCTTGGTCCTCTCATGGAACATCTGATTTTTAATCAGGTGTATGGCACTCTGGCTGTCGCAAAACATAGTTAAATTATCTTGCTATAAGCCCAAATCACCAACCAAGCCTCTCAGCCATGCATCTTCCTTTACTACCTCTGTAGCTGCCATGTACTCAGCCTCAGTAGTCGACAATGCAACTACAGGCTGTAAAGTCGCCTTCCAACTGATCACACTCCCACAAAGAATGAAGACATACCCTGTCAAGGACCTCCTTCTATCAAGATCTCCAGCACAATCCGAATCAATATATCCAGTAACACTCCCACACGTATCGTTGCCTCTGTCATAGACTAATCCAACATCTACGGTGCCTCACAAGTGTCGTAATATCCACTTCACATCCTGCCAATGGGCCTTCACAAGTCTATCCATATATCTGCTCACTACACTAACTGCATCTGAAATGTCTGGCCTAGTGCACACCGTAGCATACATAAAGCTACCAAGTGCACTAGCATAAGGAACACGAGACATGTGCTCCACCTCCTCCTCAGTCTGTCGCGACAATCGTGCTGAAAGACTAAAGTGGGCAGCCAATGGAGTATTCATAGGCTTTGATGTCTGCATACCGAAGCGTTCCAGCACCTTATCAATGTATTTCTTCTGTCACAAATACAATCTGCCCGCTCCTCTGTCCCTGTGAATTTCCATACCCAATATCATCTTTGCAGCACCAAGATCTCACATCTCAAATTCTCCACTAAGCTGAGTCTTCAACATGTTGATTTCAGACATGTTCTTGCAAGCTATCAACATGTCATCAAGATACGACAAGTACAAATACGAACCATCTGATTTCTGTGATACACACAACTGTCAAACTTACTCCTACAGTAGCCATTCCCAACCATAAAGGTGTCAAATCGCTTATACCACTGTCTAGGAGACTGCTTTAGCCCATACAAGGACTTCTTCAGTAGGCAAACATGATCTTTCTTTCCCAAAATCTCAAACTCCTCAGGCTGATGCATATAAATCTGCTCTTCCAACTCAACCACAATTAGGGTAGTTGATCTGTTGAAGGAATGGTATTCATTAAGTTAATATATTATTTAGTTCGACCACAATTAGGCTAGTTGATCTGGTGAAGGAATGGTAGTCATTAAGGTAAGAAATAATTTAGTTCGACCACAATTAGGCTAGTTGATCGGTTGAAGGAATGGTATTCATTAAGATAATAAATTATTTAGTTTGACCACAATTAGACTAGCTGATCGGTTAAAGGAATGGTATTCATTAAGGTAATATATTATTTAGTTTGGCCACAATTAGGGTAGCTGATTTGTTAAAGGAATGGTATTCATTAAGGTAATATATTATTTAGTTCAACCACAATTAGGCGAGCTCATTTGTTGGAGGAATTACATTCATTTAGTTCCACCACAATTAGGCGCTCAAAGCGCGCCTGGCGCTCTACTCGCCTGGGTCTATCCTAGGCGCGGCTGCTGTGCCTTGAGGCACCTCACGCCTCAGGTGCGCCTTTGACAACCATGCTATGGAGGATGCAGTGTCATATAAGATGGGGGCAAACTCTGCATAGATTGTGATGGTTATTCCTTCTAAGCTGTGATGATTGCTGGTGACCCAGATCAGATGTCCGAGGACTGGAATGAGCATGGCTAGACCTGGTGGTATATGTTAATTTTTCCATTGCCAAGGTCATTTCAGGTATGAGCTAAAGTGACCCAGATCAGATACCAAACTGATGTACAACATGTAGGCCTGCTTCGATACCAAAATGGACGTGGAATGAGACAGGATAATAATAATAAGAGAGAAGAGTAATAGGAGAAAGAAGTCAATGCAATCAATCTCAATAATGTTCAATAATCATCAAAAAGTTCCTTCTCAATGTATCAACCCACATATATATGAGTATCAAAATTGAATCCTAATAAATTTTACTGCTAAAAATAAAATGCTAAATTACTAAAATATCCTCAAATTAAACATTACTAAAATAATAATAGTAACAGTTAATGAAGATCAACCTTAATATCCTAGCCCCTTCTCCAAACGTGGAGGCGGAACATGTGCACTTCAAGCTCTCAGACCACGTCAGTTCTCCATCAACCTTCAACTTGATTTATAACATTCCTTACCAATGTATTCATATATCTTCTTTGCTAGGACCAAAACCATCTCACATGCACCTTGTCCAAAAAATATAGGTGCCACACCGTATTAGCTTGTTCAGCATGAGAGGAATATATCAGACCACACCGGCAACCAGGATGTCATTTCAAATAGCATACTTAATTCGTGTACAATATTTTTGTTTCCTAATGTTCCCTTTGCATAGTTATTACAAAGAAATTGTTTCTAATTGGATATATTCTTCTGCTGCAAAAGGATCTTAAATTTGTATATTTTGAATTTTTAATACAACAGGGGCTACTGATACACTCTTGGAAGCAAGACTAACTGGTGTTAATGTTATTATTGGAAGGTGAGCTGTGTCTGGTGACTGCACCCGTTTTGTGATTATATATGTTTAGTTCCAACTGAATTTTAGTTATTTTATGTTTTGCGTCACATGGGAGACAGGCAAGGGGAATCATGCAACTCTGTGTGCAAGTCAAGAGGGCAATCATGTGTACTAAGCAAACTCTTAGTCCTTAATCAATGCGAGATGTAAGCCCTATATTTCATGCATTAAATTTTCCCCGCTAACTTTTATTTCATTATTATTCTCAAGATTTATAGCTGCATCTACTGCTGATTTGTTTGTTTAGTTGATGTTTTATGCATGTTTGGTATATTATTTGCTTGGTGTCCTGGAGTATGATACACATTATCAAGTTGAGTAGGTAGGATTCTTATGCTGTGTTTACGCTGTAAACTAGATAGTTTTCATTATCTTCTTTTAAGATTGAACTAAATATATGGTGGCTATCATTTTCAAATTTTGGGTGTATTGACTTGCATGGTTGCTTCCTCTGGGAACTATGGCCTCAGGATGCCTATATATTTATTTATTATTGGAATGGGGGGCAGCGGGTACTGGGTGTCCCCCCACCCCTGGGAGATGTGGCGGGGATGGAATTGGGATGAATTGGGGCAACAGGATGTTGGTCCTGTTTGTCTGATTCATAAATGAACGATCATGAAGATTGAAGACATGTAATGTAGCTCACATTTAATATTTTTTAAACATTATTGTCTATGCTTTCATCTGGACTGATATTTTCATGGTTTGTTTTGTTAACTTTTTGTTAATATAAGTTTTTCTATGAATAGTATGCAGAAATTTTTTAGCTGCAAGGGAGCATGTTTGGCAAGCATGGGCGCAGACCAACCTGCCGAAGTTGTTGATGATGCTCCAAGATATCTGGTACACTTGCTCTTTTGCATTAAGTAATGAATGCACTTCAATAATTATGTCATGCACTCATGGTAACAATTCATGGAAAAGACTATTTAGCAACTTCTAAGCAAAATATGGAGTATCGTTAAGATTTAATATGTTCATTTCATTTTTTTTTTTTTTTTTTGGAGAAAGTTGATGTTTGTCATGCCAGGAAATCATTAGCTAGGATGCAACAATTAATGGTATCAACTAAGCTAACACATATTAATCCAATATATATTAGATTAAACAACTGCTTCCATTAAAACACAAGTCTTCGATTCAATAGTTGAAAAATGAATATATACCTTTATGGTAGTTCTGGAAGGATGGTTACTAAAAGGATGAAAATTTTATTCCGCAAGAACGAGTAACTTGAAATAAAAACAGATTTTAATTTTAGTTTTGTACTTTTTCAATTCTTTGCATAATTTTTCACTATCAGAGACCAAACCCATTTTTTCATTACCACATATGTTAAGGTTTCCAATTGCAGGAAAAATATAAACTTTTGAAAAGTAATCGAATAAACTTCTGCCTTTTCCAGAAAGTTAAAACAAAAACTTTTGAATAAATTTCGTTTTCAATACAGCTCATGAGGGACTCCTATTGATTTGTGTTTTAAAATGTGGGTTACAGACAATATCTAGTGTTGGACTCAAATATCTAGTGTTTTAAACTTTTGAATGCTTGTTTAGTTGATGAATTTACTTTTTTATATTTAATATTGCTTTTTAGAATATATTGATATGACTTATGAGATATTGATGTTTTTATGATAGTTTAAATTTTCAATTGTGCACCTAACTTCACTAAGGCGCGCACCTAGGCTCCAAATGACCTTTAGCGCCTTGGGCTTTTAATAACACTGGATTTACCACTCCAAGTCGACATTTTTCTATTAATATTGAAAAATTTCAGTGAATTGTTGGAACATGGACAATACCATGCTAATTGTAATACGTAAGGAAATAATTTTGATCTTGAACATTTCTTATAAGAATCTTAGATCATAAGCATAATTTTTACATTCTGCTTTGGTAGTGGAAAAATTTAGATCCTGTAAAGCCTAATTGGAGAACCCACTTTACTAATGTGCTTGCAGTATAATAATGGGTGCTTGTTTGATTATAACCTAATTCACACTCACTCAAAATGATGGAAAATAGATTCGCTTCTCCCTCTTTTAAGATTCAATGATATATATAGATGGTATATTCTGGAAATAACGCGGACATATTGCTAATTGGGGATAAATACTTGACAAAAGTGACACTGTATATACAACCTCTGTTTCATGAATGGGAGGTATAAGCATAATTAATAATTATATGATACAATGTAGCTGATTCATTCATGTTATATATTTGTGTAAAGCTTTTAAAAAGATTTTCATGAACGTTTGAGACAAATGAAAAGAAATACATCGTTGGTTCATGAGTTCAGTCCTGACCTTGATTGATTTCCTTCTTTTTTTCAGAATCCAGGAGCATGCTTGTACACACAAACACAATCAATGCTTTCTTGTGATGGCTTGCATCAGCATACAAGGAGGCTTTGTCCATGTGCATAGTGAGTTTAGTTAGTAAGTTCACTTTCTTTATATGCTTTTCAAAATCAGTTTTGCAAGATGGAAGTAGCATTATCAACCATAAAATTCATTACATCATGCGCACATGGGAATGGATGCATGTATGCATGCTCATGCTGCCTTACCAGTGCACAATTAATGACCCTTGTTTTAAACATACAGGGGATGGAATTCTATCAACCTCGCTTTCTTCTCAAATGAAAATTGTTTGAAATGAAGGAAATCCCCTATTCATGAGATTCATGTCTTAAGATTATTGTGCAATAGTTGTTTAATGGAGAAGAAAATATCACATGGATCCATGTTTGTATCTATATTGTAGAAACTTGTGACATCTAATAAAAAAAATTTCTTACAAGACAGTCTGCACGACTGCAAGATACCGTGTGATTATTATATAGGATTAGAAAATGTGGGAATGATCTCTCTCTCTCTCTCTCAGTTGAATCAAGGGACAGATATTTTGGAAAATTATTTGGAAGGCTTGTTTGACCTAATCTTTGCTGGTCTTGTATGCATATTTGGTTGGTTCACTTTCCTCTGCAATAGTTTCAAACAAAATACCTGCCACAAGTGGGTTGCTCAAGCGGTTGAATACTTTATGAGCTCGAATAGAAGCTCAAGTTTGCATTATTTATTTCATGAGCAATTTCAAGTGAGCTTATTACTGGCAGTTTCGATTCAAGTTTTGAGTTTGAAACTTGGTTTGTTCATTGAGTTGATATCTAACGAAGCTCAATAAACTAATGAGCTTTAAGTTATTTATTTTTTCTTTTCCCTAGTCCTGGCAAAGCCTTCACTTTGGGAGGTAGAATTTGATTCGAGTTTAGTTGGTTTATCTCAGGAATTGATCACAAGTCAAACTTGAGTAGCTTGATTCCCCTTGGGATCTCGGATCGATTGACAAGGATTTGTTTGAGTTCGTTCACAGTTTTGGTGTTTTGAGTTGATTTACAATTTGGTTTTTTGAATTATTTGAGAGTTTGGTCAAGTTGCTGGTCTCAAGCACATAAATTAATTGGTTAATAGTTGAGCATGGACCAGCCTGGTGTTCTCTAGGTTTGCTTTCAGATATCCCACAGATCATTTCATTGACTGGGATGATGATCTAGTGATTTGTAAATTTGCCTTATTTTGGGGGTAATTAAGCCACTCATGGGAAGAAAGATTTTATTTTATTTTTTTAATTTTAATTTTAATTTTTTTGTGGCCCAAAGTTCAAAGGGCTCAGACACACCTGACCCTACCAAAGCCCGAACACTCAACCTCCCCTTTGGTGAGAACTTATACCATCTAGGCTAGTGCCTGTTGGTATGGGGAGATGGTATGGGGGGAGAGATGTTTCGTTGCTCCTTTCCTGCTTTCCTTATATTTTGGGTTGGAAATTGGAAGTGATGTGTTGGGCTCGGAAGGAAGGGATTTACTCCTTTCCTTTCCCTTGTTTTATTACCTCTACCAAATGAAAGAGGATTCTCCAAAACATTTCATTATCTCCTAGGGCTCTAGAAATTGTGTTTCCAAGGAAGCATAAATCCTCTAGGTGAATGAATTTTACTATTTTCTCCTGTCTCTCTCTCTCCTTGCCCCTCTTCAGTCTTCTTCTGAGGACATGCTGAGTCAGTGTTTTTTAAATTCCTCTATTTTGCTTTTCAAGATGTAAATGTGATTCAATGAATGTATTTATGTTGTGTTTGGAAACACTAAATTCAAAAAATGTAGTTTAAATTTTGAATCCAAATCCAAAGCAGTGAAGCACCAATCGGATGCAACCAAACACAACATAAGGGTTGTCATATATTTTCAAAATCATTCATTTTTATGATGAAGAGAAATTATTATTATTATTATTTTCATAACAAGAATATTAAGAATTAATTGTTAGAGAGGAGAACACGATAAATAACTCAGTCACTCGCAGAGAGTTATACTTCCTCTCTTACATTGGTCGAGTAGCCAAAAACTAGTCAAACAAACAATTTACGTAAACGTAGAGTGAATGAAAGTGACTATTGATTATAAAAAATATATATATCGCTTTTTCACAGACTCCATATTCAACATCACAAACGCACAAGTTACATTAATAAACAAAAAAAAATACAAAAGGGCTGGTTTTTGTTTGCAACCATACTAATACATACAACGTGTCAAGCGACACAACCTTGTACTAGTGTCCATATATCATCAATTTAAAATTAAAAAAGATGCTCCCACTTGTAAAACAAACAAAAACAAGAAAAACAAAAGAAAGTTCAAAGGGAAAGTGAAAAGCATATTATTACAAAAACAGTAACCATTTTCATTGCATATATAAATATATATAAGTAAATATAAAAATACAAGTGCCCATTGTTTCTTGAGATTAAAAGCTGTAATCTGTTTTGAACACTTTCTTGTTCACTCCCCTCAAACCCTTCAACCCTCCATTATCAGCAATTCCTTTCTCTTCTTCAATTCCATTCCCTCCCTCCTCTTCTTCTTCTTCTTCTTGGGTGGAGTGAAAAGCAGGGTGGCTTAGAATGCAGTTGAGAAGCTGTGTACCTCTGAGAGCATTCGTCAATGGCAAGTGACCCTCTGGTGTGTCATCAGTGAGCTCCCAAGTGAACTCAGTTGGGAAAGACCTGTAATTATATTGCTCAATCTCAGTGTCAAGCCTCTTCATCCACCCAACCTTGAGGAAGAACTTGGTGAAGTCTCTGTTCACTTTCTTCCATATCTTCTTTTGGACACTGTACCCAAACTTGTTGCTGCTGTGTTGCTTCCAGAGCTCATCTATGGCCCTCAGGTCTTGTTCCGGGATGAATTGGGCCTCCGAGAAGAACACGTAGCCGCGCTTCTGGGCGGCTTCGCCGGCGAGGACGATGAGGAGGCGGCGGGTTTCTTCGTCGGCCTCCCGGTAGTTTTTGGAGGAGAGGTGTTGTTTGAGGAGGTCAAAGGAGATGGTTTGGGAGGTGGAGGGTGTTGTTGTGAGGGAGGAGGTGGCGGTGGTGGTGGAGAGGGAGAGAGAGAAAGGGGTGGAGGAGAGAGTGTGGGAGAGGGAAGTGGGGTTGGTTGTGTTGGTGGTTGGCTTGAGGAAGAGGGTGGAGGGAGGAGGGGTGTCTATGGAGTGGCGCCTCCGGAAAGAGTGGTGGTTGTCCTGGTGGTAGATGGAGTTGAGAGAGTACTGGCTGGTGGCCATTCTCTCACAAGAGGGAGAGATGGAGGGAAATTGGGAGGGAATCGAGTGAGGGAGAGGAAAGTGTTGAGGAAATGTGATTGCTCTGATATGGGGGGTTTGGGAGATAAGGAATGAGTGAAGAGTTAAATTAGGAGGTCATCTTGAACAATACGAAGGAGGATTTTGATTGGCTAGATGTGGGTGAGGCTAGATACTCTCCCTCTATCTCTGTCTCTCTCTCTCTCTCTCTCTCTCTCTCTCTATATATATATATATACTTTCCTACATAAATATAATGCCTTTCTGTTTTTGTTTTCTTGTTTTGAAATGCAGTGTTGGGAAATTTGCTACCATCAAAATATTAAAACGGAAAATCAATTCAATTTGTAGCCAACCTAAAAGGTAGAGTAGCTCTCATTGATTGAGACTCAAATTTGATGGAAAATACAGAAAGTGAGAGAGCAAGTGAAAATATAGAAAGTGTGAAAATAAGAATGCCACGTTTTTTTCCTGTTTAAAGGGTGCTGAGCAGGTCCCACAATTCCTGCATATAATTTTTATTTTTTATAAATAATTTCTCCATGTTTATGTGATAGTTTTTATTTATTGCATATTGCTATACGTGTTTAAAGTCGATTTTTAAAGAAAAAGAGGTTGACAATTTTGATATACGTCATAATATTTTTAAATAATGAATATTGCCATCAAGTGTCGGATACGTGTCTAGAAGTATCTATGAAATGTTGATTTTGATATTGTATCGGACGCGAACACGACACTTCATAAAAGTATTCGTGCTTTTTAAAAAAGTCGTGGACACGATATCTTTATAAAAGTGTCTATCCTTCTTAGCATATAATAAAATTAAAAATTTTAATGAGAATTTATTTAATTATGTAATTCTCACAAAGCTTAAGAAGTCCATTCTTATTAGTTGAAGTTGAAATTATCACCAAAATAAAATAAAAAACCTTACACTATAACAAACAAAGATGAGAAAATTTTAACATGTTTATACTTTTTCCAATATAAGTAATCCTAAATTTTCGGTTTATTTTTATTTTATTTTATTACATCTATGTGAATATCTTATACTACTAGTTAACAATAAATTCAATAATTGTTATTTAAAAAAAAATCTTCAAAGAAATAAATAAAAATTAATAAATAATTATGGGAAGGGAATTTATTTTTGCTGTAGAGAATTGATTATAATTTTTTTTTTTAAATAGCTGCGAAGAGTAAGTAGAAATTATATTATCAAGTACACTGAAAATATTGGTATTCGTTAACTTCAAATTCCAATTATGAAGTAAAGTTTGACTTTTGAGAGTGATTAGGAATTTGCATCTTAAAAGGTAAGAGAGTTTCTTCTGTTGGCACCTTTCAAAACTGAAGTGTCATTTTTTTACGAGAAATTAGTAGGTAGTTGTGAATTTATTTCAGACGATGGTTGGTCGTATTAATTGGTAAGCGGTGTATAGTTCGATTCGTAATATTTTTTAATAATTTAATATTATTATATATTTTTATAAATTGACTTATTCGATCAATTTATATTGATATTAGTCGGAATTCATTACACCTCAACCGATATCGCAATCGGGAATGCAAACAATGTTTGGGAGTCTCAATTTAAGTGACAAAAGTGTATTAACCTTTAGGGCAAAGTACAATCACACCCCCTGAAATTTGGCAAAAGAATACTCAGACGAAACTTACCTGTTTTTTGGACAAAGACACCTCCTTAAGGTTCAAAAATAGACAAAGACACCCCTTTACATGAGAAATTGACCAAATTACCCTTTGACTGTTTAGGAAACTTTTTTAACTATACAATTTAATAAATTGGACCAATCTACCCTCATGAATCATTTATGCATAAAAAAATAAATTATATTTTATTATTACTTCTTTTCTTTTTCTTTTTCTTTTTTATTTTTAAATTAAGATACTTAATTCTTTCATCTAAAAAATTAAACCTATTTCTTTTCCTTAAAAATAAAAAATATAGTACCAGTATAACTTTATGTATCTTAATTTATATATCAAATATTATGCATTTCTGAACATAAAAGGGAAAAAAAATAATAATAAAACAAAGGGAAAAAAATAAAATAAAATAAAGGCATGCATAAAGTTAAGATGCATAAAGTTATACTGGTACCTATTTTTTTTTATGTTGGGAAATGCATAATATTTGATATAAAATTTAAGATGCATAAAGTTATAATGGTACGATATTTTTTATTTTTAAGAAAAAGAGATTGGTTTAATTTTTTTAGATGAAAGAATTAAGCATCTTAATTTAAAAATAAAAAAGAAAAAGAAAAGAAATAATAACAAAATATAATTTATTTGAAATATATGTATTAAATCAAAAAATTATTTTAGACGTCTATATTTTTAATAAGTTGAGACATTTATAAAATAAATAAAATAAATAAATAAATAAAAAGAAGTGAACAATATAAAGTGTTTTTTTTTTTTTACTTTTTTTTATGCATAAATTATTCATGAGAGTAGATTGGTCCAATTTATTAAATTGTAAAGTTAAAAAAGTCTCTTAAACGGTTAAAGGGTAATTTGCTCAATTTTTCATGTTAAGGGATGTCTTTGTCTATTTTTGAACCTTCAGGGAATATCTTTGTCTAAAAAAATAGATAAATTTTTTTTAAGTGTACTTTTTACCAAACCTAACGGGGGTGTGGCAGTACTTCACCCTAACCTTTAAATTTGTGGAAAATTGGCATGAGTTGTCTTACAATGAATGTGGGCTGGTAGGACCCATACAACTGGGAGACAAATTGGTTGATTTCGGGTTAGCCTTGATTCTATTATACACTCGAGTAGAAAACATTATAAAAAACTGAATGTGATTATAAAAAAATTAAAAAAAAATTATAAACAAATTCTCAAGAAATTGATATTTAAAGAAATTAAGAATAAAACCAATATTTTTAAAAAATAAACTCAATAAAAAAAAGTTTATCACAATTATAAATTTATAATATAAATAATAAACATTTCAATAAGAGCCCCAACCCAAATTGAGTAGCGGTTGAGGTATTTCAGTCCAAGCCCAACATTATTAAATATGGTTGTCTGAGCCTATGGAAATATCTCTAACTCTAGCTTGAGACCCTTTTTTATTTTTTATTTTTACCTTGGCAAATTATGGGAGGGAGAGATTTAAACCTGGGCATACTTGTTCGAGAATCTAACGCTATACGAATTAAATGGGTAACCCTAAGAAAATAGAAGAGAGAAATGAGATAAATTTAGGAACTATCCAGTGCATAGTGTAATTAAACACTAAGGCTTTGTTTGACATACGTAAAATTCGAGCTTTTGTGTTGGAATTGCTAAAATTGGAGAAAAGTGACCAAAAATTGAACCAAAATAATTTTTAATTCCACAAATTCTATGCTACAAAACAGTCTGAGTGAAAATTATCAACTTTTTTTTTCGGCATTCAACACCCCCAACACGATTTGTCACTTTCAAAGACATTATCCATTTTTTGCTTTTAACACCCCAAGGTTTTGTCAGTTTCAAAGACACCTCAACGCCGTTTCAAGGACAATTATATCCCTAACTTATACTTAATAATATTAATATCATTTTTTTTGGGGGGGGGGGGTGTTTAAAATATACTGTAAATTACTTAAATTTACATTTATATTAACTTTCTCTAAAACTAGATTTACATTACATTAATGTTCCATTTGCTTTTCATAATATCTCATTTACATTACTTGACTCTCTCAAGGCAATTTCTTTCTAACTGTTAAGAAAAGGTGTAAAATTACAACACAAAAAACCCTTACATATTAAAATAAAATAATAAAAAAAAAAGGAAAGGTAATTGGAGGATAATAAATATCATTCATTGTATGGAAGGTTCTTGCTGAGCTGCAAGCTATAGAAGGATTGAACTACCCAATGTAATTAAACAAAGTACAAGAAAGGTGAATTTACCTTGAAATTAATGTCACTGGCTCCTCTTATTTTCTTTTACTCCCTAATTTTCATGGTAACTAAATAAGTACACACACACACACACACACACACACATATATATTTGTAAACTCCATTATCAGGCTTTCTCATCTATAGCCTATAGGCATACATAGAAGTTCCCAACTTCTACAAAAAGTGCCAAAGTAATTTGAGCAAAACTTAAATTTCATACTTTCCCCTAAAAAAGTACGCATAAAAGCAACAATCAGTACATTCATGTTATTAAGATACCAACTCAGTTGCACATATTGGGATTTCAATTGAAGAGCAGTCTCGAGCTAAAAATTCTTGTAACATGGTCCATTCTAATGAACCAGTTACATGAAAAAACTAATATAAACTTGAAGAACCTTCTCAAAATTATGGCATCAACTTAACAATGTGGTTTATAATGGGATGGCATGACTACAGAACACAATCAATTCCTCTACTGACTCTGCTTCAAGCTTCTCCTTCAAAACTGTTTTACATTTTCTAGAACAGATACTTGGCACGCTAATCGCTCATAACATGAGAAAGAACTGTCACAAAAGAGACGAGGGCGGATTCTTGACAGCTTCAAGATCACAACAAATTCCCCATCTGCAGAAAGAAAATATTGTTTTGGGTTCTCCCAAGCTTCTCCATAATATGAAACATTGAGACCTCCCCAACTAGGTTACCGCCAGAAAACCATAGCCATTTGTGATAAAAGTGTTTTTTTAAGAAAAGGAACGAGTTGAAGGAGAGAGCGTAAAACGGTTGTCAGGGTTGTTTATCAGCAGATGGCAGTGTCTTGTTGGTCACTGCAGCAGAGCTTGCAGGCCCTTCAGCTTCAACAAGCTTACGGAGTCGCTCTTGAAGGACTCGGACTCTGTCCTCAGTTTTTCGAAGCTTTCTCCACCTGTATGCAGACCACATGGCAAGTCCTCCATATACAAAAATATAGGAACCCCATACGTAAGGGTAAGTTTCTGCATTCTCTTTGATTTTGCGGTACTGTTCTTCTATCATCCCTCTCATGCCAACAGCCGATGGGCTTGCTACTTGTTGATTGTCTTCTCCTTCTTGCTGTGTTGCCATTTTTGATAAGCCTATAGAGATTCTGTCGCTTGGCTGCACATGGGGAAAAATGTAATTTATATAAAGAAGATGTTTGATGTCGATCATTAAGAAAATTTACGAGGTGTAACCTGCCACAATTAAGTAATACTAAGTACATAAGCCATGGCCAACTTTTATTACTGATCAAACTACAAATTAACAACCTTTCACTCTATGACTAAATCATATAACTTGCCTAAATTGAATTCATATTACTATCTTTAAATATCAGCTTCAAGAAACATAAAATTAGCAAAAATAACTAATATAGGTCTCGCTATCTAAGATGCAAGAATGCATGTTCCCAGAGATCAGGAACTGTCTGAAATCAAGGCCTCTGAAGTAATTAAGGAGTGATTTCATTCAATAATATAGATAACCCAGCACTCGCAGTTTCGCAACAAATAAAGAATTCAGTTGTTTTAAAGAGTCACTTTCTTTAAGATATTATATTTCAGGATTCGATAATGCATGAATGAAATAGCCAGTTATTTATCCGATATTAGTCAATGATCTCCGAATAGATTTCAAACTGAGCTTCTCTAGTTTTGAATGCTTCGTTTGACTATACATGTGTCTTGATATCATTAATTTGGACCACGAGTCTTTTCTATGGAATATAGCACTCTCTATACGCGGAGTTTAGGGGGGCAATCTAGGTTGTCTAAACAAAATAAGTAGCCAATCTCTCTAATGTTCAGGCTCCCATCGCAAATCCTCATCTGGCCTCAGCAGTTTGAGAAGTGGTGAAAACACAGGAATATATTTCCTGTGCATCTTTCTTGTGAAATTGAGTGGGTCACACTGATACCAAATCTAATAATATGATCTAATTATATCATGACATGTTAGCTGTAACAAGGAGGTTCCTCCTCGCGCATATTGTTCCTAGAATTTTATTCATTTCAAGAACTAAAGACCATCAGAAAATGAAACATCCCAAAAACAGCCATCATAAATTTCTCTTAGAAAATGACAATAAAAGGGCTTTAGTTATTCCATTCAGATACATTGATCTGAAACCTCATTAGTGAACAAAATGGTGAAGGATCGGATATATACCCCTCATTCAAGCATCTCGATATGCCTAAATTCACAAATGAAGAACTGGCAAAACGACACAAAGAAACACCTGATAAAAACTCAACCTAAAATACTGTCACGGTAATGAATGGTTCTACAATTAAGGAACTTAACCAGCATGTTCGGTGCAATTCTCAAATGGAATTATCATTTACTTTCCTTTCGCTACAAATCTGCATTCATTTATCAAGCCAACAAACTTGTGCCTTGTACAAGTCAAAATTTGTTAGGGCATAAACTATCTTTTCCATGTGAAAGTGCACGAAACTAAAGTCTCATCACATGTCATATTCCTAGTGTAGGACTTAAATTGGGATGTCTGCAAATATTGCTAAGTTTATATTCTGCAAAAAGAGTTTGCATTGGGTTCATAAAAAAGTTCTCATTGCTGATTTCATATTTTGATGACCTATCTTTGGACATTCATATTGAAAAGTAAAGAGTGAAAGCAAAATATTCTGTGCTTTTGTGAAATAAGGCATAATATACTACTACTTTAACGAAAAAATGTGAAAAAAGGGTTCAATTTCAATATTAATATATATATATATATATATATGAGATACTGTATATATGAGAGTCAAAAGCGGTCCTTCAACTTCATATGGGCAATCTGAAAATCTAAAACATTATGCAAAGAATTTTACACATGCGAACAGAAGAAAAGAGGCTCAATTTCAGTGTTTAAAATGTAAGATTCACAGTAGAAACCCCAAATGTAATGAACAACGAAGAATAAGAAGAAGACAAACATGCTAACCTTTTTCTTGTCCTTTTCAGATCGGAGCCGGAAATTCTCGTCGGAGGAAATTGTGGGCGGGAAAGGGCAGCTAGGGTTTCCTTGAGAGAGTCGCTCTTTCTCTCTCTGGTTCAATGGGTGCGATAATCAGTTTTGTGTTCCGCTTTGTACATAAACCCTTGGGTTTAGTGCTTCCATTTCCACCTTTTTAGGGTATTTATTTCTAGAATAAATTTGTGAATTCTGAAAATACCTTAACTTATAAAATATGTGAAAATGGTTTTTAAATAATTGTATTTTTTTAAAAAAAAGAAAGTGAAAATAAATATTTTATAAAATGAATTCGGCTAGCATATCATATGAGCCCTTATAGCTCAGTGGTAGAGCGTCAGTCTTGTAAACTGAAGGTCCGTAGTTCGATCCTGCGTGAGGGCATTTTTTTTTTCTTTTTCCTTTTTTTATGGTTTTTTTTTGCAAACTGTCATCTGCCAAAACCAAACCTGCTTGTTTGAAACCATATAGTATACACACAATCCTCATTTGTTTTGGAATTGTATGTCATTAACATAGCAAATACATTGCTCTATATATAAATTTTGCCAATTCTAAAGAGAAAAGAATTCACATGGCTAATTCGTTTGTACGAGATAAAGGCTATGTTTTAAGTACCAAAATACTAAGTTTCCAGCACATAAACAACTGCAAACTAATTTGTCACAATTTTAAACACAAATATAAGGCCAAAAAGTTACTACAGTCTGAAGAAATAGAAGAATGCCAGTACAAAATCTACTGATACAATGATAATCCAGTTTTACAAAGAACAGAAAACCAGCAAATTGTCAGATTCGAATGCATAAACAAGCAGCTGAAGTTGCACAAATGAAACATTTGATGGTAGTGAAGCAGTGATGACAACAAAATAAGTAGTAATCGAGACAGTTACATCACTCTCTCTCTCTCTCTCTCTCATTCTTCTCTTTACATTCCCCCAAACACAAATTAATCAAGAATCTTCTATGTGTTTGATGCTTTAGTACCTCAAATGTGATTTTCTGTTTTCTGCTGAACCATTAGAAGTTGTGCTGCAAGAACAAGTTTTCTTGAGGAGAAGCAGGCCCAATCTCTTCATCCAAACTTCTCAACGCGTCGCCAATGCCTCCACCATTGCCCACATTTCTAGCTTCCAAGTTCCTCCCTTCTACGTCTGCATCCAAATCCGTGGACTTCCTCCTCTGAGAAGAAGCAACACTCGGAAAGGTAATCCACGAAGGAGCTCTGAGTTCGAACCTTTGGTCCTCGGTTTCTGCCACATCGGTTGAGGCTGAACGATTGGAAGACCTTTGAGAGGACTTCTTGTGCATTCTACTGCTTCCCAAGACCACCTCCGTTGGCAGAATGGGCTGCTCGTTACTTGGACTGCCCATCAATTGTGCAAGCGCTCGCTCCAAAGCTGTTGTCACTTTGTCCATTGATGGCCTCTCCTTCCCTTTCATTCTCACACACTTGCAAGCCACAATTGCAATCCTTTTCAGAGCTTCAACGTCAGATGGGGGCTTCAGAACTGGATCCAAAATCGCTTCTATGTCCCCGGCTTTGATCAAAGGGACTGCCCATTCAACTATATTCCCTTCTTCAAATTGCATATCAATGGCTTTCCTGCCACTTAAAATTTCCAAGAGCAAAACACCAAAGCTATAGACGTCGGATTTGGTTGTAAGATAGTGGAGTCTATAGTACTCAGGGTCAAGATAGCCAAGAGTCCCTGCAGGTAGCTCAGCCAAAGGAGAACTACTATTGGCAGGTCCTAACAAAGATAGACCAAAATCAGCTACGCGAGCATTGTGTTCTTCATCAATGAGAATGTTTGAGGACTTTATGTCCCGGTGAATCACAGGAGGACAAGCATAACCGTGCAAGTATTCAATTCCCCGGGCTGCTTGAACTGCAATAGTCACTCTCCTTATCCAATCCAGCTGCTCCTTTACGGCCTTGTTCTTGCCATGGAGGTGTTGATGCAGAGAACCATTTGCCATGAACTCGTAAACCAGAAGCCTCTCTCCACTTTCTTCACAATAGCCAAGTAAATTGAGCAAGTGAGCATGATTTAATCTCGAGAGTAGGTCAAGCTCAGTGTGGAACTCTTTTGAATTCTTCTTCTTGTCAGAGGACATTATAGCCTTTTTAACTGCAACAACCGTCCCATCGTCCAAGACCCCCTTGAAGACACACGAAAAACTTCCATTTCCAACTTGAGATTCGTCTTTAAACCCCCCAGTGGCTCTCTCAAGTTCCTCATAAGTAAACATTTGAGCTCTCCTAATCCTAAGCTCATCCAAGTCCGGTTGGACTTTGCCGCTGTCTCTTTGGGAAGAGGAACCTGTCCCATTCTTTTTCTTGGATTTCAAGTCTTTTTCTGAGCACCGGCAGTTCCTCAACTTGCAGCGAACATATATAATTGCAGTCCAAGTTACAACACTCACCAAAAACACAGCAAACGCGATTTCTGCAACAATGACTGGAACTTGAAGTGACCAGAAATTTCCATTGTTCTTTCCAACCAAGGCATTGGAATTAGAGCAGTTTAAGAAGCATTTGGCTGAGACACAACTAGAACAGTTGAACTCACACTGTTGATCAGACATGGAAGAGCATTCAGTCTTTGGATACATTTCATTGGGGCAATCATTGTTGCAGGGCAAGCAAATGTGGGAGCCAGGAGATTTACAAAGTGCACTCCCATTGTTGAATTCATAGAAACCGGGGGCACAAGGACTCGGCTTGCAGAGTCCGGGAGTAACAGCTAATGGTAGGGAGGGTGGAAATCCAGCACCCCAACAAACAGGTAGGAGTGATTTCTCAGCAGGAATTCCACAAGTGAAGTAATCCCCAGCTGCAATTTCATAAAGCCTAATGCCATTGGGAGGCAGCGTACTTCTTGGAACACGATAACCCCAACAAACCACACCATGACCATAGCTTTTGATTCCACAAGCATGGAACTTTCCTCCAACAACTGAAATCATCGGATCTTTTGGAGCCACGTCGACACCAACTTGACCTGCATACACCACAGAGATTTCTTCCTCAAGGTCCAAGCTGCTTCCCCAACAAAAAGACCTGGAATTCAACCCCTCTAAAATCCCACAAACATGAAACCCCCCGGCTGCAATCTTCTGAAACCTCATTTCCTTGGGAATTAGGCTAATAACTCGGCTACTAGTCTCATCACCCCAACAGAAAACAGTTCTATTCTGAGAAAACAATCCACAGTTGAACTCTGAACCAGCTGAGATAGATTTGATCTGCCCATCAAACACATAGTTTGAAGTCATGTTATATCCCCAACAGTCAACAAGAGAAGTGTTTCTGAGCCTTCCTGTTAGGGGTTTTCTCAAGCCACACAAATGGTGATCGCCCGCGCTAATTTCCAAGTATTCAGACCCTTTGATCATGGGCTGCGGAACTCCCATTTCAATAAAACCACTACTTCCCCAACAATAGGGTTGGTTTGAGTCCATTAAGAGCCCACACACAAAGCCATTGCCTGCAGTTAGACCGGTAAAGGCGAAATGAGCTGGAGTTGCGTAGGTTATAGCTGAATTTGATCCATAACAAGACACTAGATGAGAACCATCTGACTTGAGGCCACAGAAAACAGGACCGTTCTCACCATAAGAAATGGCAATGGAAGACATGGAGCCTAGACCCCAAACCAATCCCCATAAATCCGAAACCACCACAAAGATAAGAGCTTGTGCAAGAAATCTGGCCTTCCCTTGGTGGATCTTGAAGCCCCCCAAACAGCTCCAAATGTCCATTACAGAAAGCCAAACCAACCATCCAAACTAAATCACAATGCCCATTGAAGCCACTGAACAAACAATGGATGTGTGATTCTAAACAAGAGAGAATATAATATGAGAACTAGGACTATCTATCTAAACCACTGAAACTCTTTTCACTTTTCTCTTTTTCAGTAGATGCAAATCAAGCTACACAACAATTAATATAAATAAATTTCCATAGCCAAGCACAGCTATGAACAAATGTAATCCAAACCTTATACAGAAACTTGCAAATTAGGAAAACTTACCAAGACTCAGATCAAAGAGTTCTAACTCAGACAGGAATTTCTGTAATCATAACCACAAAGCCATATATTTTTTTTCTGTTTTTCTTCAATACCCATGTCAGGAATTCCAGCTTTTTGAGCTCTTTCTTTTCAAAACAAAGACTTCAACCCAATGAACTTCAAGTTAGATATCTACAAAGTTGGAATGAAAGAACATACAGTGGACCAAATTTTGGAGACATGAACTTAAATCCTATATATTAAATAGATTTACAAGATAAAAGGGTGGTCTTTTTCTTTCATCTAATATATTGTGCTTAAGATTGTGTTGGTTGAGAAGCAAAGATGCTGATTTGGATTCAAGAATTGTTAAAGGTAGGTTGCTGAGTGTTGCTTCTTGCAGACAAGAATGAAATGGTGATGGTGAAGGGCATGAGAGAGAGAGAGAGAGGGAGGGAGAGCAGAGGGCATTAAATGAAATAAAACTGCACCTTCTCAATATGGGCAAGCGTAGGTGAAGGCATTAAAGGAGAAGTTAATGCAAAATTATCTTTTCATGACTCTGTTTCTGCTTAGTTTCACTATTTTGAATTCAATTTTTATTTTTTATTTTTATTTTTTTTTTAGCGTAAGTTTTAAGTTATTCTTTGTTTTTATTTTTTTCAGCTTTCATACCAATTAACACCAAGGAGATGGCTCAAGGCCTCATGAAGGTCCGAGGTTGTTCCCTTTGAATGCAAATAATTTTTTAAGGCATAATGGTGCAAGGCTGAACTTTACCGACCCATATGGAGGGAACGCTTTGTGTGATGTTACGATGATTAGTCGAGCAAAGCCCTAAATACACCATTCCAAAAAAAAAAATATATATATATATATACACTGTTCTCTTTCAGACACAAAATAATTCATTTTTTATTATTTTATTTTTGTTTCTTATTGCCAAGTCAACTGCTCAAGTTCATGGTTTTACTCTGAACTGTCTAACCAGTGTTCTCTATCCTTGTTCCTTGGCTCGATGTTAGTTTGTCTTTTTCTTTCTTTTTCACTTTCTTTGCTTTTTCTTTCACCTACTTAAGGTTTGTTTTGATTATTAAATGGTGGTCATGACTCATAACTGCCCTTGAACCGTTTAACAGCAACTCACATTGCCATTATACTGAGGCTTATGTCACGTCCCGCAATCAAGAAGCTACGCCACGCAACGCAGGTGCGGTCCAAGTCCGTTAAACTTAGCTGAAACAATGACATTATAACGTGAGTTTGGATGTCATAATCACACATTTTTTAAGTGCCAGAGTCTAAAAAGTTAAATTTAATATCCAATGGATGATATTGATGAAGTGACATTTATGTGAAATTTACTAGAATGTATTTTGCTGATATTTTTCTTTCGACTTGTTTAATTCATTTAATTTTGCGATTTAATTAATTTACTCTTATATAAGGTAGGTGGTAAAATTTGTGTTCAACACTTTGTCGAGTTGATTAGTGCAAATAATCAATTGAGTCAAAAAATTAAGCCCTCAAATGATTATGGAACTTTAATAAATGGGATGTGATAATCATTTCCACTGAGTAATTTGAGTGAATTAGCTCAATAAATTTAAAATTTTATTAGGTTCATTTTTTAACCTTTAGCTAGATTATATTATACTGTGATCCTATTGAAGGAGTGAAATCAAAGGAAAATTTGCGATTTAATTAATTTACTCATATTTAAGTTCAAATAATCTTAATATTCTTAAAACCGATGAACACCAAATTGAGCTTTCATATCGTCGACCCAATTGATATAAAATTAAGGTAAACATGAAGATGATGTAGTCTAAGTGATGAATGGTAGTATGGTATGTACATTCTTGGCATGGAGTGAGTTGAGAGGAAGAAGGTTTGAAGTAGGAGAGAAGGTTAGGATGTGAGAGGATGGGTTGTGTTGTAAGTTAAGGTGAAGGCTATGAAGGATTTGGTGAGGTTGAGTTGGAAAGGAAGAAGAGGGCATTTGCATTTCAAGTGTGATGGATTGGTATGTGAATTTGTGAAATTTCATGTATAATGATATGGCTTGTATCCCATGATCCATTTTTCTTGATCTCCTACTCTTTGGTTGTGGCTCACGGGATTTTTAGGAATGTACTTTAGGCTTTTTCCATTGAGCTGTTGAGTTCACCTTATCATTATTAATATTTTTTAGGAATTCGGAGATGAGCCGGTGAATGATGTACATCCATGGATATTGATGTAACTAGGATTGTAATTCATTTTTATTAAAACTATGTAATTTTGGCCATGAAGGCCTCATTCCTTGTATTTAATTCTTTTGAAATTGTATAAAATGAGATTTGTGTAATTCGGTCTTTGAACGATATATTGGACTTGTATTTGGTGTCGCCCGAACCGAGTTGCAAGAAAGTGTATAGTGTGGCCAAGTTTGAATTTATAGAATGCCACTACTACTACCAGTGACGGAGCCAGGATTTCAAGTGAGGGGGGGCACACTGCCAAAAAATAATAATAATAATGCGGAGTATATATATATATATATATATATATATATATATATATATATATATATATATATATAATAACTATAAAATTTAAAAAGACAAAGAAGAAGAAAATTATTAAAATATAAAAGGAAAATAAAAATGAAAAAACTTTAATAGGAACTAGTTAAAAAGTTTCAATTGAGGAAGAAAATTTTGACTTTTTCTATTAAAGAAATTTAAAGAATGTGAAGGGTAAAAGAGAAAATATAGAAAAAATAAGAATATAATTTTAGGAATTACAAATTTGAGGGGAGGCACTATATAAATTTTGTCATATATATGAAATTTTTTATAAAAATTACCACATATATTATAGGTTGCTGGCCAATTCAGGGGGGGCACGTGCCCCCCCTAGGCCTTCATTGGCTCCGTCCCTGACTACTATTAACTACTAATTTAGCTAAAGTGAGTAGGGATCGTCCCAAGGAAAAGGAGGTGTAGTTTTGCTTAGAAATCAATGTCGGATTAATAAGTCGAATGATCAAAGATGGTTTGTTGGTTGGATTAAACTACAATTTAAACTAGGCAAATGCAATGTAAAACAAGTAAGTAAATAAGGTGTAGAGAATTAGAGAGAGGAGTCTTGGGTCATAGAGTTCACCACTAAGCATTACCTTCCTAGACATTCAATATTTGATAGATTAAGGGGGGAAATGTGATGTAAATGAAAGTGTGTGACATTGATTGAATTATTAGTATGGATGACCAAGTAAGCATACATTGTCTAGACAATTTAGTGCATAGCACAACATATCAAATTAAGCCATTAATCCTTCCATAACACAATCAATGCACACTCAACAAATTAGAAAATGTACTACTTGCATTCATAAGTATGGAACATCAAACAACAAGTATTGATTGTCCTCCTATCTAAGAAAGTAAGGCAACTACACTACAACTAAGCTAATGACATGAAAATTAAACTAATTAAACTAAGGAAGGGACACAATCCATCAAGAAATAAGTATGAACCATCAAATAAATCACAAGAGTATTCCATTTAAACACCATGCCTTTACCATCACTAGATTCATGATATTAACACACATAGACATGCATCAATGTAACAAAATCTAGATATAAACACATGAACATCCATTCTAACATACATAGACATATGAATAGAATTAAATGATCAATTGAAAGTATTAACCTACACAAATCATTGTAGAAACAAGATTTATATATATCAAATGTCAAGATAAGAAATACAACACTAATCCCCATTAATTACAAAACATCAAAGTCTATGAGGCATGCTTAGGGATAACTCTAACCCCAAGAAGATGTTTAGCCACTCATTGATGTTGTCATCCAACCCTCAAGGGCTATCTCCATGGTAGAGTTTATCTTCCTCCTTGGTAAAACCCTAGATAAGAGGAAGAACTTTCCCAATTTGTATATTCTCTCACTAATCTCTAGCCAAGCCTCCTCAAACTAACTAATATCTTTTAATCAATATAGCTAAAATCCTTATATAGGTAGCTCAAGTGTCACACCTAAACCCAATGGTCAGACCTCGTGCACTAGGACCTCTAAATGATTGCACCACGAGCACACCTTTTAATTGGCTGGAACTCTGTTTTTCTCGCACTTGAGGCAGTTCGATCAATCATGAGGTAGCTTTGATAGATCAAACTATGGTGGCGCCTTTTCGGATAAAGACAAGGCTGGGATATTTTTGGAATATTTTGGGAAAAAGGACAAAAGTGGTAGGTGGGGATATTATCAAAGGGTTTCAATCGATCGAATGAAATATTGGATCGATCGAAGAAGATATTTTGCTGAGGATAAGGACAAAAGGTTTGATCCATCATGGCATGGTTGGAACGATCACTGTGTGATCGATCGGGGCTTAGGTTCGATCGATCGAAGAATACTGTTTTTCACCACTTTGCTTCCACTTTGCTCCTTTCTTCCCGTTAGGCTTAAGATTGCTTCTTTTTTTGCTCTAATTTGGCTGAATTAACTTATTTTGAGGATAAGTGCATGAAAATGGAAATAACATGAAATTAGACTAAAACAGAAAAATAAGATAGAATAAGATACTAGAATGTTCAAGCTTAAGGGGTTTAAATACGCACTTTTTAGTGCTTATTAGTATTCGATTTAATTGAAGGCACGGGAGTTTAATTATGTTGCATACACTGTCAATTGCATATTTGGGAATGGGATTAGACTTTAATTAAGGTTACCAATGGACCTAGGGAGTGCCCATATGTATGTGTTTCAGTATTTAGGCCTTTCTGGGTAAAATTTTTAGGTTCTGGACTTTGGAAACCAATACCTCATTCGGGAACCTGTTCAAGAGTTGTCTTGGTTCACGTTTGGGCTTTCTGCCCATGTGGAACTGGTACCAAGATTAAGAACCGGTTCCAGCCCTCTAGTGTATATTTTTGCCTTGACAATGTATCAGTTTTGACCGCCTGACTTTATTTGGTCATAACTTCTTTGTTGAAAACCCAAATAGGGTCATTCTTAAGTCTATTTTCAAGGATTTTGAGTTAGCTTTCCAATGAGACCAACATCATCTTCAAATTCCATTCATGTTGAGAGTTATGATTGTTTTAGTGGAACATTGTCGGAATTCCCCTTGAACCGAGTAATGGTACTTTTGAGAATTCATAACCGACGACCGTAGAATTTCACCGCGTATCATGGGATGATTAGAATGATTGTTTTAAACCTTATTTGATTAGTTTAAGGATAGATTAACCTCTCATATTGTAAAATGACTATTTTACCCCTAGTGTGTCCTCGGGTTTGGTTAAGGACCCGGTTAGCGATCCGGACCCCGATTTGGGTTGTTACAATGAAGACCACTAGAGACGCATTTGACACGTTGAAAGGCATAAGAGTACGTTGATGTGAAGACCGCTAGAGGTGCATGGAAGCATAGTGGCCTGACACGGTGGCACGTTAAGGAAAAAATGCATTATTGTAAAGACCATTGGAGGCACATGAAAACATAGTGGCCCGACATATTTGTAGCAGATTTGTGATGATCTGGCACGTTAAGGTGCATGGAAGCGCATTGACGTGAAGCCTACAGGAGGCGCATGGAAGTGTACTGGCCTGACACGTTGGTGGCAGATTTAACACGTTAAGACTCACAAAGACGAGTTGGTGGCGAATCCGGGGAGATCCAGCATGTTGAGATGCATGGTGATGAAAGTGATGGTGGAGCAGGATGGGGCTTTGCTGCTATCTCATAAGGTACCATGTTAGAAGTATTGGAACTGTATATAGAATTAAATTAATGAACAGTACAAAATGATCCTATTTATGTGAGCTGGCTAGGGATAAGTGAGTATACAAATAAAATAACCGAATAGGTGAATGCTATACAAGAAACCTAGACGATAAATAAGAGGTATAATAGTATATGTAATTTAACGGTCTATACTACTTGTAAGATGAATCCAGGCTACTCCTCACAACTACCCCCACACCCCATTTTGGAAGTTTAACCTTAATATGATTTTATTGGACCAGTAATTTGTTACAATTTTATGAGAATTAAATTATGCATGAATATATAGTGTTGTGAAGAAAGAAAATGATCAAAAGAAGAATTCAAACAACTATATCAACTTCATTAATGTTGATAGGATTTTTAGTCCACAACATACATATGTTTCATAATATTGACAAATTGCTACTTGAACAAATTATACATCAGTTCAAACTTCCATCTTTATCTTCTTTCCTCTCAGATGATGCAGTGATGATGATGTGATGCTTTCTTAATTGTAGTAAAGAAGGTTATAATATCCCATTAACTTTAATTCCACTAAATTGCCACAGAAAACCCTTTTCCCATTACTCCCTTTGTGTTGTTCCACAACTGAGAAACTATAATGAATAATCTTGTCTCAAAATTGTGATACACAGTGAATAGTTGGCCAAAAAAAAAACACTTATAGGCAATCTTATTATAGTGATCTCGACTTCAAGGGTTCAGTTCTCTATTTTGAAAGTTATAGACTTGACAACACCTGATTAGTTGGGTGATTAGTCGAGTGTCATTGTGTGCTGTGAGACACCTAACTGGTCAGTTACAGTACTCTTTTTTATGTTATCATTCACAAATATAATAATTCGTTTCCAAGAAGTAGGTCCCACTTAAAAAACTTAAAAAACTTTCCTAAAATTAATAAAGAGGGAAAAAAATTTGATAACTAAGACGCTGGAAGTCACACAATCCTTCCTTCTTAATGGGTGTCGCTTTCACACTCTGAGTGTGCCTCTCGCTCTCATATTCCGCACGTGTTTTTGCTTCCATTCTTGTTGTTTTTTACTTAATTTTACTAGTTTTGCACTACCACCCTCAAATTCGTTGGAATTATTAGTCGCGCATTATGTGAATTAGCGATGGATTGGCTGGTGCCGCGTGGCACCTGGTAGGCAAAATAGATGTCAAACTTGTAGAAATGACAGTTAAACTGAATTAAATGTCAACCTTCCGGAATATGACTTGAGATTGGAATTATAAAGTACGTAGTTGTTATACATTCACTTGTCTAATTACTTTCTTTTCTCTTATTCACACAGTTCCATATGGGAACGTGTTGGTCAAACATTGTATATGATAGTAAATTCTTTATAGTGGCCGGGAGCAAATTACTCTAATAAGAAATGTGATCATACATGCCTCAAAGTCTTTAATTTATTGCATTTGTTCAACAGAATCGTATTTCACTGTTAGAAATTGAATAGTTTGAGAATTATCATGTAATCAAAAATTCTCTAGGTGACGTTTGATGATATAGAATTAGAGTCTTAAAATTATAATTAGTAGAATTAAAAAAAAAAATTGGTTCAATTTTCTGCATTGCATTTTTGCAATTTCACAAATTTTAATTTCAAAACTCCAATTTCATGTCTGCCAAACATAACATTGCATTAAATCACGTGACTAAATCAAATTATTAATTTAGTTTTCTCTTATTAAATTTGACCAAATTGAATTGCCCGAGAATATTTTAGTGGTAGTAGTGTGATGAAGTTACTCATGCATTATTTTTCATGTTCATGCACAACATGGACTTGTTCAAAAAGACAAAAAAATATATAAAAATTTACTTGAGAGTTTTTACTCTAATTAAATTATTTTTAAGGTATATTCAGTTGTATGAAATTGAAATTTTAGGATTAAAATTGATGAAATTTGAAAAAAAAATTAGTTTAATTTTCTTAATTGTGTTTTTTCAATACTTCAATTCTTTAATCTTTTTCTCTCTCACTCTCTCTTTAGTATTAATAATATGGCTGCAAATAAAAAGCAAGTTAAAATGAGGGTTTTGACAACTTTATCCTCGTGCAATTAAATATTTGACTCTGCGTATCTAGCCTTCTATTTCTTGTCTTGTATTGGCTATGCTACGTCTTGTATGTTGTGTTTTCATAGATATGTGTGAGGTATTTGCTTCTTAAGCTTAGTTTATAATAGCTTTGGTGACCAGGTTATATATAAACAAGTGATTAAGATTCAAATGGTTCATATTTTGAGGATTTAGAACTTAAAAGTCCAACACAATCTCCTGAGAATAATAACAAAAATTAAGCGTGTGCCATGTGAAGACATTAGTTTTTGAGACACACCTACATCCTCACTAATTGAATCATAGTATGAAAGTATAAAAATAAAGAAGATGAAAAGGATAAAATTACCTTGTTGACCCACAATTTATGGGTTGGAACATGTTATACAAACATCAATTTTTATACATATTGCACATTGAGACTGACATCTTTTACAGGTACATTAATGATCCTCTGGTATTAGTTCTATGTATATATATATATATCTTGCGCAAATATAACTGACACGTAGGAGTTCGACAGTCGAACTAAATTTGATTATTTTTATGTAAATGGTAGTTAACGTGATCATATTTATTATTATGATATTAATTTCTACTCAAATTAAATAGTGGGACTAATCCAACTCTCAAATTACATATCATTTTTCTCACTAGTTTACTCATTCAAATATCCAATTACCTTTTTGGAGCTCTTATTGCAAGTACTTCTGTAGGATACTTACAAAGTAAAAAGAGAACAACGTGGAAGCGTGAGTTTTTTGTTGCGATAAATAAAAAATTAAGATAAAAATAGAAAAAATATCATCTCAATGGAGCCAAGAAAATGGGCATGTGTGAAGTGAGAACGCATTTGACCATATGAAGGTAAATAAGAAAAATGAAAGAACTTTTTTTTTTACAAAGCAAAAAGTGTTAGAAGTTATATTAGTAAATGTAGAGGAATAATACAGAGGATCGAAGCCTGACCCTCCAAAATCAACTGAATGCACTAACCCATTAAATTATTTGAAGATTCCATTGAATGGGCCATACAAAATCCTACAAAAACCCCATCAGATATTCGACTTTAACTTTAATGTTCAATGACTTAAATAGTTAAAAACCATCTTTTATATTTTATCTTGTTAAAAGAGTTCTAAAATTTTATTATTTTAAGAGATCAGTGAAGAAGCAAAAAAGGATAATGATTATTATAATCATTTGGTGGGTTCTTTTGCTTTTTTTTTGGTAAGGATTTGGTGGGTTCTTTTGTTGAGAGAAAATGAATTATTTTTCTAGACTACCAAACAGCTTTTGGAAAAGAACCCGACAATGTCATTGATTTCTGATGCAATTATATGTAATTTTCTAAATAGTTGATCTATAGATATTTCTAACATAACATATTAAAAAACCATAAATATCTCATTGACTCTTTTACTATTATAAAATGGATTGTGTTTGAGACATAATCCTGAAGATCTTCATTGATTTGATAGAACATTTCTTTATTGTCTTTGCAACACAAAAACAACCATGGCCTTAACAAATTAGGGATATATCTCTATCAAGTCATTGTTGCAACATTTTTAGCATGAGTCAAAACTTCTAGAGAGAGAGAGAGAGAGTCAAGTCCCCTAAGCATTTTATAATGCATTATTGTTATGCAGCTTTGCATTAATATCACACACACACACACACACACACAGAGTCGAGTCCCTCAGGTGAGATGGAACACTAAGGCATGCTCTGTTTACACACAGTGCCTCTCACTAATCTTAAAAATCTCCCAGAAAGAAAATGGCCTACAACTTCTTCCCAGAAGGTGGAAACTGATTTCACCTCAGCATTTAGCAGTTATCACCAAGATGACAAACTGTTCATCGCCGGACTAAGCAGATTAAGCAATCTCCGTGTCAAGAAGCCAAATAATGGAAAACGATTCTACGTTCGTGTAAAATTTCACTTGGGAGGCAAAAAGTGGAATATAAAACTATGCTGATGTAAAATTTTACTTGGAATTGCTTCCAAATGCATGTGTAGAGACAAAAATAAGAACACGAACTAGATTCTAAAACCTTAAGAATCACAGCTCACGTAAATCTTTATGAATGATAGCTAACAAAAATGCCCACAGATTAGCAACCTGCAACTATGCAATCAGATCATCTTCAACCCCATTCAAGTTCTAGCAATAATCAGACAGCGAATTACTTGTATCAGATCATCTCTGCCACAAAATACAAGGCCTGAGCAGCTAATGTAACAAGTTTTGTATATAAATTTCAAGTCTCTCAAAGAAATCTTTACAATTAAATGTACTAAAAGAATAAACAAGTGAATTCCAAATGAATATACCACAAAGGCTTGTAGCCTAGTGGTATCTCCTCGACCTTCTAAAATAGAAAGTTGAGGATTCAAGTCTCAAATGAATACACAAGTAAATGTTTACAAACAAATTATTCATGACCGAATATAGAGAAAATCCACAGCAACAACAAAAAGAAGAAGTAAAAGTTCTAACACGCTTTGTAATGGCTGTAAAGGAGAAAATTACGAAGAAGAAAAAAAAAAAAAAAAGCAACTCGGAGCATGATCTTGAAGATTTATTATTCCTGGGGGGGGGCAAATATTTCCCAATAAATTCAGCAACCTGCAGCACATTGACATTTGTTGGTAGAGGTAATGTATTTTGAAATTCAAAGTAAATAGTGGGCATTCTGCGACAGTTGGTCTAAACTTGCAGCAGGGATGGCTCTACAAGGATATTATAACAGAACAGTTAAAAGAAAGATTTTACTGCCACCTCAGAAATATAACCTTTTCATTCTTTATTCTACAAATTTTGAAAGCATAATTCCATGTGACATACAAAAATCAGTGCATCACTAGAAAAGATTCAGGAAAAGAAAAAAAAATGCATCACTAGAAATGCAAATGATCAAAACGTAGTCACTTGATAAAATTCAAAGAGTTATTGCCAATAGCAAAGAAACAAGCAAACTCACTTCAAATGCATTCAGCATTGCATTTTTTATTCTATAGCTTTTGAAGGCACAGCTCTATGGATATATCTATTAGAGAAAATCAATTCATCACAAAGAATGAAACTTAAACTCAAATGAATGAAGGAAGAATTAAACATCCCAAGAAAAGAGAACCGTTCTGCTTTTGAAGGCAAAAGTGCATTGCACGTAGCCCATAACAGAAAACAGGTGTGAGAAAAACTCAAAAATCAGTTGATAAAATTTGCAAAAAAAAAAAAAAAAAAAGCACACAAATACATTCTGTATTCCATTTTGTGTTATATAGTTTCTGAAGGCACAATCCAGGAATATAGCCACTAAAGAAAAACAATTCACTGCAAAGAATGTTATTTGAAAACTCAAACAAACAGTTAAAGGAAGATTTTGGTGTCCTATGGAATAGAACATTCCATTTCTTGTTTTACAGCATTTGAAGGCAAAATTCCATTGCACATAAATATATCACAAAAATGAGTTCATCAATAAGAATTGGAGTCAAACACACAAAACGAAGTCATTTAAGAAAATTTTAAGATCAATCGTCTGTAAAGAAACGGGCAAACTCACTTCAAAAGTTCAAATGCATTCATTTTTGTGTTCTCTAGCTTTTGAAGGCACAATCCCATGTGATATAGCCATTAGAGAAAATCAATACATCACTGATGATGACAGTAAAAAAATTGAATGAAGTCATTTTGTAAAATTTTGAGAGTTAGAAACAAACTCAAAAAGTTTTGCATTTTATAGCTTCCGAAGGCACAATTCCATGGGATAGTTGCATTGAAAGACACATCAAATATTGGTCAATAATTAGGGATATGCAACTTCAGTTCAATTGCTATCATAAGAAAACAATTAAATAGATTCATCTCCATCTAGGCATTTCTCCACAACTCATTGTATTGGAAGAGAGAGATGGATAAAATCTCGGAACTTACTAATTCTGTGTTCCAGCATTTGTGCAGTAGAGTATAAGGTCTTCTAAGCCAACACTTCTAAAGCAGCCGAGATGTGCAGGAACTCACTGAAAGTAAAGATTGTGAAGGCATTGAGTGAAGCAGAAATAATGCAAAATGACATGAAACCAGGACTTCACTGAAGCATAATCTAGGAACACTGGCAAAATAAAAATAATTTTGTCGTTCGCATATGCAGCATGTGAAGTGCACATGTGCATATATAGAAAAACGTACTTCTAGCATGTTTTATATATGTTTATCTACAAATGACAAACTTTGGTATGCCAATTTGCTACATTCCAGATAGAAAAGTTTGATTTGAACGAGCTACTCTAGATAATGGAATTGGATTTGGTTTTCAGACAAATTTGACACCAAAAAAAGAAATCAATTCCTTGTATATTTTTAATTTCTATTTTCATCATCATCATGCTTGCCTTTATCCCATATGGAGTGGTCGGCCACATGAATATTCTTTTTCCATTCATTCCTATTACACACCATGTCTCGTCTAATATTAAATTTTTGAAATCATATTTAGTAACTTTTCCCTCACTTGTTCATTACTAATCTTATCTCTCCTAGTCTTTCCTATCATCCATCGTAGCATCCTCATTTCGCTAATTGAATCACCATCCTATAGAATTTTTTCTTTTTGTTTATTCAAAATTCTTTTGTCACATAGGATACAACTAACTTGCCTCCCTTTTCTCCATCCTGCTTCAATCCTACTTATTACATCACCATCTAAGTAAAGAAATTGAGTAACTCCTTGATCTTGAATTGTAATCTCTGCTACTTTATCAAATTTACATTCCATATATTTTGTTTTAGTTTAACTAATTTTTAACCTTTTGCTTCTAAAGTTTTTCTCCATGTTTCTAACTTTTTAATATCTATGTTATTGACTTGAAATAGTGAGAAACAAGTTGGATTTTACTTGGGTTTTATGACATAGTTGACGAACAAATTTAGGTCTATCTTTTTTGTTCCCCCCCACCCCCGCACTAAAAAAAATTACTTTATACATTTGATAAACAAATTTGCAGGTTGTAAGTCAACTCAACTAGAACTTGACTACAAAAGTACAAATAAATCCCTTTTCTACATAGCAGCCCCACCAACCTGTAATCAGATGGTTATGTCAAGGTCAAATTAATGGGTAAGAATCACCATCTGTTATAATTTATAAAATAATAACATCACTTCCATCTAGTACTCCTACATTTGCTAGACAAAAGGCTTGATTAAATGCAAGTTTTAGAACTGAAATAATTATAAAAGCTCCTAAAACAGGGTAAAAAAAAAAGAAAGGAAAAAAGAAAAGAAAAATATTTAATGACCCCACAAATACATTAAAAAGCATCAGCTGAAAGTGAGTCTCATCTAAATACGAATAAACTTATCTTTAACCTCTTAACAATCACTTTGCTTGGCAATTAAACATCTACCATTAATCCCAAATAAGAACAGCTGACATGGTTCACATTGAGAGTAATGCTAGGGGAATGGGAAGACTAAAGTTAATATGGGTAGAGTTAGTAGGGAAGGATATAATAACATGTGGTTTGATTGAGATATAGCGTTAGATAGAGCGGAATGGGAAAATATGATTCATGTAACCAACCCTAAGTAGTTGGAAAAAAGGCTTTGTGGAGTTTAGTTGAGTCTTTTAGATTCTACTTCAGAGGCCTTTAGCTACAAATAATAATTGAATCAACTGCAAATAGATGCTTCTATCCTCAGTCTGTTTACTAATATGACCATAAGTTCAACATTAAAATAGCACTAATTCTAATTGAAGATAACATGAGAAAGAAAAACCTTAATACGATGAATCGATGATTTGGCCATAGATAACCACAATGAAGAAGGTAATGTTAGAAAGGGGAAGACCAAAACTGACATAAGTTGAGATGGTAAGGAAAGATGTGGTATTATGAATTTATCTCCCTATAGAGCATATAGCAAAACAGGATTCATGTATCATATGCTTAAAAGTAGGAAATTGGGAACACATTTTGTCAAGTTAAATTGAGATTACACTTTCACTGTTGTATTCATTAGACTGTTTGAATTTTAATATAGTTAGAATACTTCAATAATACCTCTCAGTTATCAAGTCACTGAAGCAGATACCAGATTTAGACACCTACTAAAAGATTTCTCTGACACTCTCCTAATCAACGGCTTGGATCACCTAATCTTGGAATATCTTCACAAGCAAGCATTAAGTTTACCATGAACGTAATATAGTTAGAATACTTCAATAATACCTCTCAGTTATCAAGTCACTGAAGCAGATACCAGATTTAGACACCTACTAAAAGATTTCTCTGATACTCTCCTAATCAACGGCTTGGATCACCTAATCTTGGAATATCTTCACAAGCAAGCATTAAGTTTACTATGAACTTCAAAGTACACATGCGATTATCGTATCAAATATTACTTTAATATAGGCTTCTTTGTATGATTAAACTCAAGATTAATAGCCTACCTGCATGGATTCACATAAGGACCAGGGAGCAAAAAAGTAAGAGTTTAATTATACATCAAAACAATATTTTCAAGCTATTAATCAAGAATTTTATTGTCAGTGACACGAGCAATGTTACAAACAAATATATATATATATATATATATATAATTTGGAAGCATGAGATAATGACACTTAAATAATCCTCATTATAATAAATTTTGAAAGGCAGGATGGGGTATTTTGCAAATGGCAATAATTCCATGTAAAAATAGAGCTTTTTGAACAAAATCAAGTTGCAGAAAGACATTTCACAACTGGTGAGATAATTATGAATATAATAAACCCGGGCCAAAATACTTCCAGGGTGCACAATTAGGAACTATATCAAGTCAGTGAGATGCAGAGCATGATAACTAGAAAAGGACAAATTGAAAATTTTACATGAAGCGCACTTTTCACCTTTGGTAGTCACACAACCCAACCAACCCCAACCAACCCCAACACAAACCCAACAACCCCCCCCCACCCCCCCCCCCCCCCCCCAAAAAAAAAATTATATATCATAATAAAATTTTGCAATTTTTCTTGTCCTCAGGTTAAACAAACCAAGGAAAACAAAACTTTATGGTGTAGTCGATGAACATAACGTGATGGTAAGAGAGGCTAACTTTCAAAATAGAGCTAACTACGTCTCCTGGCCAAGTGTGCACTCCACGTTATCTTTTTCTTTCTTCCTTATTTTTCCCCCCTATACAAAATAATACGAAGTCTTTTGTAGTTTCTGGCAGTTCCCCCCTTATTTGTAAAATAAGAGACTCTTTAAATAGCATGTGGAAATGACATCATGTCATTTTATTTCCAAGACATCTGAAGACGAGCCAGCCTTCATGACTCTTATTTCCAAGATACTTAGATCAGCCAGCCTTCAATTTGTCCTTTTTAAATCCAAGACATATTATTGGTGTCTTTCATTCGTAGAAAACGGTCATCACTAGAAGGACAGTACCTTGTTGAAAGCGAAAAATTATCTTATACATGTAACAATTTAGAATCCTTTTAAAGCTAAGAGAAACAAATGGAATCACTTATCTCAAATTAATGACTCTCTTATTATTTACATGGTCAAAGGAGTGTCAAGGGAAATGAACTTGAACCTTAGAGACCAGCCGCATGGATCTTCTGGGAAGGACTTCCCCAGAAAGACGCTTTGAGCTTCTTAAAATCTTTCTTTCAGGTTGAGAATAGTCAGCTTGATATTTCCCATCTTGACTCTTTCTCTTAGGCCCATCATCAGATAGCCAATCCTTGGATCTTTCCTCTGAACACTTATTGAAACCCAAGCATCTGAAAGGCAAATAAGTACGTGCTTAAATTACCAAATCATATAAATTACCATAACATGGACTTTCTTTGAGAAGATTAATTACTCTGAAGTTTCCATCCCTCTGATGAGGTCATTCCTTTCCTGCATTCAGTACAATTCTTGTTACGAATTATCTTGGTGAAATAAAGAAAAACTAGGGATACATTAGTTGTATTTCAAATATGTTCCAGAAACTTATTGCAAGATCAGGAAGGTCAATGAAAAAGGACAATACCAATACATCAGCATGTGCAGGCATATGGTTACTAGAAGAGTCTTGATTAACTTCATTTGGATTGGCTAATCCACCATCTCTTGTTTCCATATTGTGCATTGTATCAACCAAATATGCGGAAGAGTTATTTTCACAAGAAGAATATGATGCATCTTTTCTATGACTGGCAGCTTCGGACAACTGCATCTCTACAGAACAAATACCTGAACATCCAGCAGGCACTGCATTAGCGTTCGCAGGACTGCTGTTCTGAAACATTAAGCTCTCACAATTTTCATCACCAAGCTTTGGATTTTGATGCTCCAACGTGTTAAGACTCTCAGGAGCATCGGATGTCAAGCTTACACCAGAATTGCGCACTAATTTTGTCTGGGGAGTATCAGGAACATTTGAATCAAGAGGTTTTGTTTCTTCATCTCCCAGACAAGATTCCATACCAGAAATCATTTGAACCGTTGCATCAGAATTGAGTCTAGATAAGAGCAGTAGTTCTTTTTTTCCCTCTAAAGGTGAAGATGTTTCTGTAGCATCACTGTGTGGCTTTATTGCAGTGGCCCCCAAAGTCTCATCATCTCCATCTGGGTGATCAAATTCCACATGACCATTTCCTCTAATAATTGAATTCAGAGAAGATTTTATTATTACATGGCCATTGTTTATTTCATGGTCTGAATCTGTATTCTGTAAAAATGTACTTGTTTGTTTTTGACTATTTCCTAATTGTTCAAGCTCCTCACGAAAACTTTGAAATTTGTTCTCGTTCTGAAACATGCAAACCTCATTTTCAAATCTCCTAGACCAATCTGAAGGGCTTGAATTTAAATCAACAAAGAGGTTAATTCCCTCTGCTGACCTAACATAGAACTCAAAAGAAGGAAGTGCTTTAGAAGATTTAATAGAGGAAGTCGAGGCATTCTCTGCTGAATTTGCACCAAGATCTACATTTCTTCGCTGAATTTGAGGCATATTACCCATCCCAGTCTCTCTCAGAAAAGCCAGATTGTTCTTGCCAGAGTGGGATGCCTCTCGCATATCATACATGTAGCACCCAGAATCTTCAGAAACTTCATTACCTGATGCCTAAGTTGACACAAATAAAATGATTAAATGAGGATCAGCTTTCTGTAAATTCAGGAGCAAGAAAAGTTCATGTCAAATGGAAGGTGTGCAACTGGTTTGAAAGGGTCCGTGTTTTGCCATTTTCTTTTACCCAAGTGAAAATTTGCATTCAAAAGAACTTTGCACATGCAATTTGGAAAAAGAAGCAATTCCTATTGTTTGTGAATGAATAAGGTAGCAAGAAAATGCCTTTCTACGGCAAGGGCCAGTCAGGTGAAAGATGGCACATGGGGGTTAATTCAAGGTGGTGATACAGGTACAGCAGAATTATAGCCATGCCTATAATTGATTAAAGGGGAAAGAAAATAATATCTTTGCAAAGCCTATAATGATGATTATTGAATCTTGAGTCAATAAAACCTGCTGTACGAGCTCTCGTGAATAAATCAAAAGAAGCACAGAGTATGGATGGGTAGAAATAACTTAGGATACCACTAATTTTGTTGTCATATAAAAGATGTACAATCATGGAAAAGATTCACACCTTGGCATGAGTTTCAACATCCATGCAACTTCCAATTCCATTGCATTTAACAGTCGTACAATTATTTTCTCTGTTATCCTCCTTTCTGGAACAAGTTATGATTCCGCCGTTATCTGCAATAGAAGCAGTGAAGCATCCAATTTTTTATGCAGTTCTACATATTTTCAGTTCTGCAAAATTGGAAACAGAGACTGATAAGGCAATCAGTAAAAGGTGCAAACCTCTTTTCGTGTCCACCACCATTCCAATAGATTGTGCTCCAAACTGCAGCTGTGGCACAAGTGATGTAGAATGGCAATTTGACCTTCCCACTGTGGATAGTGAACTCAACTTCTTCTTCTGCAAGTTTGTCAAATTTTGATAATGGTTGTAACACACACATGATATTTAAGCTCGTTTTTTTAGACAAGTATGAATCATTAATAATAAATGAAGTGAACCAAATGCCCGAAAAAGTAGATGTGCCCATAAATTTAATGTTAATTTTACATTAGAAAAACAATTAAAATATAACAAGAAGGTCAGAAATCCAGTTTAGTGTGGAATGACTCAAAAAATTAATTCTTCAAGTTTTAGTTTAAAAGAATGTTAACTTGAAAGGAAGCCAGTTCATGGTACTTTATCATAGTTTTAGGAGTCTAGAAACGTAACTTGAATAAAGGTAAAACCAAAATATGCAAATGACCAGTGGCAGAGCCACCTAATGCCCACTGGGAGCAGCTGCCCTACTCAATTTTTTCTTCAATTTTAATTTTTTGCGCATCTATTACAAAAGTGGAATGTAAGAATAGTTTTTGGGACAATTGTGAAGTGTGAGAGTGCTTTTGTAGGACAATTGTTTCATTATGTTTTTCACAAAGAATGCAATGTGAGAGTGCCTTTTGTGGAGTGTGGATGTCATTTCTCTACCAAAATTTTCCCACTTCTTTAATTTAAAGTATTTCTTTTATCTTATTATTGTTCAAAATCTACCCCCCACCCAAGGGTGCAGTGGTCATTGCTCAGTCAACCCTTGAAATTTGACATGGCCAAAGCTTATGACCGCATTCCGAGCATTGGCAGTCGCTTCTAACCTAGCCCACCAGCCTAAAGAAGCCAAATTTGACCTTGGATGCCAAGTTCCGATGCCTAAAAATCCAAGCTTAAGCAACCACAGAAGCAGCCAGACTATGCCCCACTATGTTTGCTATGTTAAGGAATTATGTTCAACGACATGCCATCATAAAGAATTCTATCTTCATGGTAAAATATATGTTTTGAAAGAGACCTGATGCGTCTTCATAACTGGTGAGCCTATTTCTCTTTAATCAACATCAGTGGATAAATAACTTGAGAAATGAAGAATTATTGGAAAGAGTTAGTATTACACGTGACCCCTCCAAATTCATTACACACTTTTTTATTCTTCTTTTAGAAAATTCAAATCAAGCTAACAAAAAAGTAATTCCATTATTGTGATAATCCTTGCTACAACATATATATATAATATCTATTATCCATATGAATTCAAGAGAGAAGAAGGGATGCTCGGGACATAACAGCCTCATTTATCGGCTGACAGTTTGTTCTTCTTTCTATTTCTTTTCCTTTATGTATTAGTTTCTTCGTCTTATTTCTTTTAGTTGTTTTATTTTCATTTTTTAGATCGTATGTTCCTCATTATTTAGGTTATATTAAGAATGGGAAAAAATTATGATGAAGGCACTCTAACTAAACTTGTGCACTTATAACGGTAGGACTGCAATGCTGTTATGGTAATCTCAGCCTCTAATTTAACGAAGGATGTAACCAAGTGAGAGTGTTCTCATGATAAACATGCTCTTATGAATATATATTAGACTTGTATTAAAAACATTATATATTTAAATTATATACTACCCCAACAAACACCCCCCCCCCCCCCCCCCCCCCCCCCCCCCCCAACAGCAGGGCTTTAGCCCAGAACAAGCTGCAACAAGGTTTTAAACCAACCTAGCTGGGGTGGCAGAGGATGGTGGGTCAGAATAGAAGGAAACCCAAATCACAACACAAATTTGAGTCCCGACAGAGCTTTATGATAGCTTTTTCAACTACCAATGGTCACAAGCATGGATCGTACCATCTCATTACTGAAACTGATCCCCATTATCATGGACAATGAAACATCAATGTAGAGGAACAATTAGACTCCTGAGTTCCATACATCTGCCTAGGTCAAAATTTTGCTAATCTGTTCATACCCATTTGTATGGCATTACAAACAACATTGCCTAAAAATGAACTGTGTTGGCCAAACAGTTCAGACGATCACTCTGTAGGAAGGCAAGGGTACTTTACTCATCTCATCACTGCACCTGATACATCTATTCAAAATTAGATCAACTGCTCTCTCATGCTGACAAATCTGGCTGGACTAAATGATCTAAGATCAACAATACTAGCACAACCATCCACCACAAGCTCCACCACTGCAGCTTCTGTGGCCCAACCATTTAAAATGGTCACGAATGAGTCCATCATAGGGACAGTCTGTTCTTTGTTAGAGACTTGCCGTGGGAAGAGTTTTCTTAATAGAAGGGTATTTAAGACATTAATAGAGTGGGATGGTCTTCCAGGCCGGTTAGATCTGTTGCTGGCGTGGGAGTGTGGAAATCTATTCGCATGGGACGAGCTGTCTAAGCATATTAGGTTCAAAGTTCGGGAAGGCAGGGATGTTCAGTTCTGGGATGATTATTGGTGTGGGGATTGCCCTTTGTCTCAGTTGTTTCCAAGACTTTTTAGGATTGCTGCAGATAAACATGCTATGGTAGCGGATTGTTATCGGCTTGGTAGCGGAAGGATTACGTGGGTTGTGCGTTTTCGGCGTTCTTTCCAGAATTGGGAACTTTAGGATGTCTTTGGCCTTTTGGATCTTTTGTATAGACGGGATGTGGATGGTAGAGGGTCTGACTCCTTGGTTTGGATGCCTTCTCCTCGAGGAGGTTTGATGTTCGTTCTTTTTTCCTTTGCCTCGCCGGTTTTCATGGTTCTAGTTTCCCGTGGAAGACGGTTTGGCATTCGAAGGTTCCTCTCAGGGTGGCATTTTTGTTTGGACTGCGGCTTTGGGTAAGATTCTGACTCTAGACAATTTCAGAAAGAAAAGACAGATCACAATCAACTGGTGTTGTATGTGTAAGAATGATGGAGAGCCTGTGGATCACCTTCTCTTGCATTGTCCTATGGCTTATGATAGCTGGAGTCTTATTTTTGGTCTTTTTGACATCAATTGGGTTTTGGCCAACGGGTGGGGGCCCATGATCGTGTCTGTTGGAGGGTGACCCCCCTTTGTGTTTGGTGGATCATCTAGAAAGAGCGAAACAAAAGATCTTTTGATGGGGAGGAAACCTCCATCGGGGCGCTGAAATTTGCTATTATTAGTTCTCTTTTTAGGTGGGTGATGGGGAATTGTAAATCTTTAGATGAGATTATGGACTTTTGGGGTTCTTTGGGTCCATAAGGCTTTTTGTTTGGTTTCTTGTATATCTCTTGGGATGCGTTCCTCTTTTGAACGCTTTCTAATACATTTTATTTATCAAAAAAAAAAAAAAAAGAACATTAAAGTTTAAAAAGCCACTATTGGCAATTATTTTTTAAGTTTGGTTACTATTTATCTTTTCTTGAGTTTAAGATCACTCTAAAGCAATTTTTTTCAATTTTGGTCACTAAAATCTATTTTTCTAAAAGAAAAAATGCATTGCTTTTTCCCTCCTCATGCTAGAAAAAAAAAATCATGGGAATCAGGTTACATCAAACAAGAAATGATAGAAACTTGACTAGAAACTACAAGTAAAAGATGAGAAAATAGACAAGTAAATAAGTACATGATGAGAAATTGATGTGCCCGTGGACCCAGGGGAAGATTTCCTACTATGTTGGGAACATCCAAAAAGGAAAGAACTGGGGGAAGGGCAATGAGAACCAGATTTTTCAAGAAATTTCTGATTATCAGGAATTTTGTTATCTTTTTAGCAGCTTTCATATTTTAGTCCTAATTTATGTTTGGTAGTCAAGCCAATAATGGCTGAGATTATGTAGGAAAACTCTATAAAGCCTTGTGATTGCTGGAGTTTGGGATCATTCTAGTTTATGAGATAATTTTGCAGCAACAAGAGTTTGCTTAAACACATTTTTTCTCTTGCAGCATTCTTTTGTTTCGTTTCAATACTTGCTGCATTCGAAGATTTGTTCGTCCTCTCTACGTAAGGTGGCATCAGAAATTATACAAAACTTAAGTACAAGCTAAGAGACATTTGACCAATCTGATTTTTTCAACGAAGATCAAAAGACCATCACACTGGTAAGGAAGCCCATTTTACGAGTTCAAGTGAGCCCAGTTCCATTCAGTTCAGTCTTGGCTACTCTGTAAAAGAATCCTTGACTAGGGCTCAAGCTTGATAAATTTATATAGCTGAAGGAACTTGAACGAGCTTTACACTTAGCTCAGCCAGAGCAGTTCATTTCAGCCCTACACTATAGTGCAGCTACACCCAATGTGCATAAATATAGTGAGTTAGAATTTGATTGCTAGGCAGTTTGTTTGCCCAGAAAGGATACTCTTGCAAGCACTTAGATTATAGGGGTAATAATTCTTCTAAAAAAATGCCATACGTGGCACCCAAATCTTCCTGTACCATATTTGACAGGATTAATATTTCACTTAAGTTTCCATGTTAGAGCATCTCTCTGTAATGACCATAATGACACATAAAAGTTTTAGGGGGGGTAGGAAAATGCAAAAAGGAGAGACTTCATACAAGATGCTTTCACTAGATATATTCCATTTTCGCCATTCCCTTCAAGGAAAATTAGCAAAATATGACATATCAATTGATTATTACCCCCCTCAAATACCAAAATGAAAATTACAGACATAAATAAAACAGAAGTATACATAAGCATATGTTAGAGAGGACAGTGGGATAAATAATTGGCTCGCTTTTGTTGTGATAGTTTCAAGTTGCAAACAGAAAGTACTTGCTCTTAACATTTACCTCAAAGTAAGAGTTCAGAGAATCCACCAAATTGGGTTTTGTCTTATAAGGAGATAAACCATATTTTTTGCACAATTCTTGAAGCTCTTTCTTCCGGAGGCTGCGAAAGAAATCCCCATCTTCTTTTTCGTCCATCTGCCAAATCCCAGAATAAAAGCATATATCATGTGCGATATCATCTAAATTCCATGGGAATGCAAGTCATGGACAAATGATTTCAAAAAACTTTGTTTCTTAAAGAACAAAAGAAAAAATAATTTCTTATAGTACTTCATCCCCTAAGTTCAGATATTAGTGCACTAATCTCTAGTCCATTTCTTTTCTTTTCTTTGTTTCTTTTTGCATTCTTGTCACTATAGCATTCACATTTGTTGTTATAGGGTGATTACTATCAATCAACTGCGTAAGCTCATCAAATTACTAGCATTCACATGTGTTGCTATAGGGTGATTACCATCAATCAACCGCGTAATCTCATCAAATTATGTTATATTTTTCTTTAAAATGCATCCTTATTTTCACCCATATAACCAAATGGGAGCACCTAAACAGATTATAAAAAATTGATGCACTTCTCATATGGCTACAACATTCTTGCCAATGATTCACATGTCAAATTATATATCAAAGGCCAAGTAGACAGAATGCCAAGAGCAACACAACCTTTAATCACTGTCAAAGTTCCACAGAGGTCTAAGCTTTTATCACCGTTTGCCTCATTGAATTTTTTTCTTTTCTTTACGTAGTCTTAAGTAGTTAAGTGGGGAAGTTTAGAGTGTGCATACTCCTATCTCAGAAAGTATTAAATTAGAAATAGAGAGAGACACGCAGATTATAATTCTAAGGATCATTATGAACCATAAAAGGTTAAGCGTAGTAGGTCAATCATTAAACAAAATGAACTAAGAATATATACACATATCTTCTATAATTGATTTTAATAATATGATCTTGCCTAGGAAGAACTTATAAGAGGTTTTAGTAACAAATAACATTACAAATTCATGCTGTTTCTCATAATTTGCTTTCTTAAATGGGAGTGGAAGGGCCATATGTTCCCTCATTGATTGCTATTTGTTCTACAACATAATACATGGTAATTAGAGAGAACAACAAGCTGAGATTATAATGTTAAACCTTGAAAGAAATAATCACAGAGGTATATTACAACATCTGAGAATAGGGGGTGAATAAGAAAATATTAGATGCAGAGCGGTGGAAGCAATAGTGCAAAATATAGAGGATTTTTTTTTTTGTTAAGGATAAAATTGTTTCTTCATCTTCCAGTTTTAGATTATATTCTAGAACTTTGTGTTAGTCAACTAGCTCGAAAAGCTTAAATGGTTAAAGAACGGATCAAATAGTGTCTACCAAAGTTCTGACACCCTTCCTCAAGTGTGATCGCCTCTTGCCTGTGGAAAGACTGGCAAACGAACAGATAACAAAATAACAAATAGGATAAAGTGCAAGGAGACAAACTGAGAGACTTGGAACATAAGACCTCCCAAAATCAAAGCTCTATAAACCATGCTAGACATCTAGTTCCCAAAAGTTTACGATATTAAGAAAGGGGCTCAATAATTTGTATCAAGCTCTTTCACATTGTCTTACATGAGATTGTCTTGGATAGAGAGGTACACAGCAGACTCATAAGCAAAATAGAATAGACGCAAACAAAAAGAAACTTGAATTCCAGACCTCACAGAACCAAAGCTCTAACAACATGTTAGTCAAAGACTAGCCCTAAAGTTTAAGATGTAACCCAACAATGCATGAAGTTATCACACATTGCTCACATCAATGTCCAATGTATATATCAATAAGGTACTGAAAGTTAAGAATCACAGTCTTCCTTACAGTAACAGAATCAGTCAATCAGAAGAAGACATAAAACAAAAATAAATACTTGCAGTAAAAATTGCAGCAGAGAGTAAGAGACTATGAGCCCCTAACAAGGAATAGAAATCAAACCCCCAATACAAACATGTGGCTATAACAAATCTTGGTTTCTTATTCTAGCAGAACTCTGATGCCATCTATTAGGACCCACCTCACATTGTGCAGATTTTGTCCATTTTCACCCTCTTGGCACTCACGTTTTCAAAATGTGTCTACACAGGTAGGAGGAACACCCCCTTACAAGTGTCAGCAACTTCTCTCCCTAGGCGATTTGGGACGTCATAATCACCCCCACTTGGAACCCAATATCCAAGTTGGTCTACCCATCATTGGCCTTGGCACGCCCCTCCATATTTTGGCTATGGACTGCTTTGATGCCATTTGTTAGGACCCGCCCCATGCTGTGCAAATATTGTTCCCTTTGCGCCCTCTTGCGGCTCATGATTTTCAAAACACGTCAAGACAGTTAAGAGGAGTCCTTCCTTATAAGGGGCAACAACTTTCCCCCCTGGGTGAAGTGGAACGTCATTCCAAGTTAAACGCTAGGAACTAGGATAAATTTTCTTTGAAAAGTTTTTGGATTGGATTCAAGAAACTAATTAAAGTTACTAAGATGCTTATAAAGTATGTGCTACCGATTTTGAGATTTCCTTCGTTGAAACCTTCTTTCTTGTTCACTTCACATTGACAATGTTTATGCCAAAGTGGAACCACTTCTTTCATATATCATGTGTTTTTCACATATTTTTCTTGATTCTGCTTTGCTCAAAGAAAATGATAGAAAAAATAAAGAATTACCCCCTGCCACCCAAAATAAAGGAGGACAAAGAAACTCTCTCTCTCTATCTCTCAACTTATCCAAGTTTTTTTCTCAACTACTTAGGGTTGGTTATATGAATCGTGTATTTCCATAAGTTTGATGGCACTTATATATGTGAGCATCTCCAACTACGTAGACACATTTTGAAAACTGTGAGCATAGATAGTGTGCAAAGCGGACAATATTTACACGATGCGGGTGGGTCGTGACAAATGGTATCAGAGTCAATCCCCAGCCAAAAACGGGGGAGCATGCACAAGCCCATGAGGGTCACGCCAGAGAGGATGCTGGATCCCCAGAAGGGGGTGATTGTGACATTCTACATCGCCTCGGGGGGAGAGGTTTGAATACTTATACGTGTGGACATCCCTACCGAGAGGAGAGTGTGCAAAGCAAACAATATCTACACTGTATATACTTGGCCCCACTAAAGTTTTAGGTCATGAAAAAAGTAATCAACTCTCTCTCACTAGTTTTCTCACTCTCTATCCTATCCATCCATCCTCTCTCTCTCCTATTTAAACAAATAAAAGTTACCATGTCAAAGTAGAGCCAAAACTTTTTTGCTATTTTAGTTTTGCATTGTCTATCTTTTAATATTTGGATATGCACGCAAAAATATATATATAAAAGTACCCTTGCTCTTAAAATCCAACACAAAGACCAGAGAGAGAGAGAGGGGGGGAAGAAGCGTGTTTACTTAGTGATTAGGTTTGTCTGCTGGCTTATATTTCTTGTTTGTATTTTTTTTTAATACAAGAAAATATACCATGGCAGAGCGTATTTAATTATATAGATTAGAAGAAATATATTTAAAGACACTGAAAATGAGTCATACAACATTTCCAAAAGGTGAAAACTCATTGAATACAATTATAAATGTAATGAACAGAAATATTATCGATCACTATTTACATTTTTGTATTAATTACCTTGGTTTATAAATTTATCTTTTTATTATTCTAGTTCACCCCCACTAAAAAAAAACTCCTGGCACCATCACTGGCCATAGCATCAGTTAAACCACATGTTATTATATCCTTCCTTACAAACTCTAGTCACATTATTTTTGGTCTTTCCCTTCTCTTAATATTATTCTCAATGTGAACCATGTCATTTTTCCTAAGTGGCACACTAACTGGTCCACTTACTGGTCTTCTTTTACATGTCCAAACCATCTTAATCGGTTATCTCTCACTCTCATTTTCTCTCCAATCGCTGCTACTTCAACCATTTCAAAAATGAGCTCATCTCTCTCTCTCTCTCTCTCTCTCTCTCTCTCTCCAGCCATATTTAGCATGGGGTTGGAATTGACACTTCAACATAATCATGGTGGTGTTGGTTAAAGTATGCATTCTATAATTGCATTAGAACACATTCTTTCCAAATTCATACGTAGATAACACATTAGAGACGTGCAAATTTTCAAAATTTCTTTTGAGTGGCAGACATTAAAGGAATAAAATACAGTAGCAATAGGTCTAGAAGCAAGATATTAATCAATGGAATTAAAATGGGTGTATTGCCCAGTTTGACATATACGTATAGCCAGACATACCAAGAAAGGTAGGAAGAGAAAATCAGAGCTCCTTTAAATGAATGGAGAACTCTCACTCAGAATATTATTTTAAAGATGTTGCCACTTCAAGAGACCATTGAGAAGCCACCATCAATTAGTCACAAGTTCGTCCAAGTGGTCATCACTGCTAAAGTGCAAATTTAATGAGAAATGGAAAGGAAATCTCTGCAAATTTAGGAATTCTTTGAATTTATTGTCCAATATAACAAGCCATTTATAACTGCATCTTCATGCTACATTTGTCAAGTTCGTCCAAGTGATCATCACTGCTAAAGTGCAAATTTAATGAGAAATGAAAAGGAAATCTCTGCAAATTTAGGAATTCTTTGAATTTATTGTCCAATATAACAAGCCATTTATAACTGCATCTTCATGCTACATTTGCCAAGAATAAATTGTATCAGAGCATAAATTAACAACTAAAAAAAACTTTATTCAAATATATATAGATATCAAACAGCCTCCTGGCAACAAGTAAAGCTGGCATTCTAACTGATACGTGCAGGAACCTGTCAAAACCCATGGAATATGAAAAATTGAGTCAACATTCCGCAAAACAGGTCACTTTTAATACCAGTGGGCCATTAGCCCAATGGTGTAACCCCCCTCGCTCAAAGGGAGAGAGGAGGGATTTGAGCCTAGGCGTGGACAATGTGTGTGAGTACTTACCTAACCAAAAAAAGAAAAGAAAAAAAAAAAGAAAGAAAAAAAAGTCACTTCTAAAATTTTGAACCCTCCCAGCATGGAAAAATAAATAAATGTAGCTAGTATCATGCATGTTAAACAGGTAAATCTTGGTAATCTAAACCAGCAGAACTACAAAACGTAGGCGTTGAGTTAGGCCCCAATCCCACCGAATCAAAAGCAACATTAAATTAAAGGGAGAAACTTATATTGTTATATAATTCTCAATTTCTCATAGGTTTCGAATATGATATTGGTAGATAGGTGATTTCATCCATCCAAGTTGATATTCAAATTTCCCAATCCAAATTATAAGTGGACCAGTAATTAACCAGCATTTTAAGTTTTTTAAATTAACTATATAAAAATAAGCTTTAGTATTTGGATCTTTCTGAATTGACCAATCCTCAAGTTACCAGTTACATTTACAAATTCTAAAAGGGATACCATGAAATCAAAAGAAATATAAGACCAAGGATGCAGTGAAAACACCTACCAAGCCAACAAACATTTAACCTTCTACTTTTATATTTTAATTTTAATTTTAATTTATAATTTATTTTTTCTTTTATTATTATTATTATTATTATTTATTTTTTTGGCAATCGTAATGAGAAATGAATTTTAAGTAAATCTGTAAACCCTAACAACATTCCCAATTTATAACGACCAGCTATTACAAAGAATGCTTTAATACAGAACACCCATATTTCCTTTCGGTAAACCAAATTGATTCATGGTTGTGTTCAATTATGCACTTTGATCTAAACACCTCCACCATTATATATATATATATAATAATTGACTTCATAGCTTATACATAAGCAGTTGGTAGAAAATTATACAAAAACGAGAATGCAAATCTATCGAACAGTGTAATTGAAACACAATGTGCATAAAAGACGGTCTCTATTTAACCGTTTGGTGACCGAGAAAATGGAGACAAAATTAATTAACAGAAAAACGTTTTAAATTTACTCTCTACTCCACTTCTCGTTTGCAAAAAGCAAATTCAATATCTCAACTCATTTCGAGGAATAGTCGTACAAAAACGAAATCCTATATTTCGATTTTTTTTTCCTTCTTTCCGTAAAACCTAGCATTCAGAGTTTTGATAAATCTGTATCTTTCTACTACGTTTTCTCAGCAACCAAACAGACGAATTATTTTTTCCTGGTCAACAGAGAACAATAAAATGAGTAGGCGTTAGACATGAGTTTCAGAGGCGTACCTGATTGGGAATTTCCCGAGAAAGTAGGCCGGAAAATTGACGGGAAAGTGAGGGAATGTTAGCTCGGAGAAGAGAGAGCAGAGAAGATGCAAGTCGGCTGCTGACTAACGGCCATAAAAGTCCAGGTCTTGTCCTAACGTTTCTTTTTTTTCTTTTTATGATGATGCTAAGTTTAAAGCTTCAAATTGACTTTGAGGCCAAAAATTAAAACCAATAAATAAGTACTAATAATTGCATAATTAAGATTGTTGGATGTGATTAAAATTATTGTTCCCTTCTCACAAAATTGATATTCCATTTGAAAAGTTTATATATTTCTCAAAATATTATCAACTTTTAAAAATTAATATTCAAGTTATATATACATATTTTGCTTAACCATTTTCAACTACTAAGACTTAATTTTGAATTTTTTATAAGGGATAATGCATATTCTCTTAATTAGTTAGATTTCAAAGAGATTGAAAATTTTGAAAAATGCTATGTAATAAAAATAAGATAAATTCAATTTTATTTTACAAAAATAATAATAAAATCTTATCCCAATGTACACGCCAACGCTTGGGCTATCAAAACCCAATGTACAATTAGAGGTTAATTTCTGATTGCTTGTAATCTTGCCTTAGAATAGGCTTGGGCTCAATATTGTTTGGGCTGTGTTTGGGGGCTTCGGCCCTTTTGTAAATTTGTACAGTTATATATAAAACATTACTTTCCGAAAAAAAAAAAAATCTTATCCGAGAATTTTAAAAACCCAATGTACAATCTTATTGATGTAGCCCAATGCACAATCTTATCCGAGAATTTAAAAAACCCAATGTGTCATAAACCAAGCCCAATCAATAAAGAAAATGGATTGTAGCCCAAACTTTTGGTAACAGCCTAACAGTCCAACGCTTAGGCTTTCAAAAACCAATGTTCAATCTTCTTGATGACAAAAATAAACACATAAATTTCTTCTTCTTTTTTACCTCAAAAGAACTTTGTCCCTCTATGGGCTTTCTTGGGCCTAAGGCCCGCTTTTGTAATTATCCATTATATATACATTTGCTTAAAATTCCAAAAAAAAACAAAAAAACACACTCAAGCACGCCATAGCCCAATCAATAAACATAATGGATTGGCCCAATTCTTTTGGTAACACGCCAACGCTTGGGCTATCAAAACCCAATGTACAATCTTATCGGAGAATTTAAAAAATAAACACATAAATTTCTTGTTCTTCTTCTTTTTTTCCCTCCTCAAAACAATTTTTTTTTTTCTTGCAACGGTCATCATAAATTTTATTAAAATCAAAATTTGGTACAACTCTTCTAAACCTGTAGCATAACATCATTAGAGAGAGTGGTAATATCCAAACAAACCAAATTGTGAAGGCTGTTGAGAAACACTATGATATTCGATATTGAGTCAGTTTTAAATTATCTAAATAAGAAATTTGAAAAGCAATAAAATAAATAAATAAAAATTTATACAAAAACAAATCAAGCCTAACATTAGTTGGCATGTATCATTAAGTTAGGTTTATAAGTATTTAAATTAGGTATATATTACATGGAAAATTGCATGGAAATTTAAAATAATAAAAAATAAAAAATAAAAACCATAGGTACAAAACTTCCCTGCAATTTTTTTGGGCATAAACTAGGTTTGGTTCAGTTAATTTGATTCTCAAGTCTTGATTTTGCTATAGTAATCTTTGGTGAGATGCCAAAAAGGAAAGTTATTTTTTCTGCATCTTGAAGGTGAGGAGGAACTGCCCGTACACATTAAGAAAGAACAACAGGGATGCAACCCATCATTTTATTCACGAGGGTAAAAAGAACCAGCCGAAATATTTCGAAGGGCTTTTAGATAAATCGAGGACTTTCACGAGGTGACAAAGTTTGACAGTGACCAAGTTCCGTCTCTAGATTATGAAGAACCTCCCAATTGTTGGTCTTTTCCCGAGCTCACACTATCAAGTATTGCCCATTGTCAAGCAATGAAAAGCTCAAGGTGAACTCGTTGATTCAAAGCGTGAGAGAACACCCCTTTTGTGTCAACCTTGTCGGAAAAAATCTTGAATGCCAAAATAATTCCAAATTTGAGAAAGAAAAATTAAATTTTTAAATAGTATGGTTGCATTTATTGGGTTTTGGTGGATTGAATTTATATTGTCTTTTACTAATCATATAAAATAATACCAAAATTACTAAGAAAACTAAAATAATTCCACAAAAATATACCATGGTTATTAATTGGAAAATTAGATATTAGTCACCAACGTTAAAGAAAATTGCTTCCAGCGACCTTAAATTTAGATAAAGAAATTGTTTTTTTTTTTATTCGAACTCACAAACTCTTTATTAAATGACAGTGTTGGATAAATTAGATCAAACTTGTACTATTGTATAAAATCAAAGATTGTTTGAAATCCAGCTTGTTGAAATGTGTAGATTTTGTTAATTGATATTTAATGAGCATTGATATTTCTACGTCTAGTTTTGTACATTACCAATACCATGATGAGTGACATGATATGACACAAAAACATCAAATGTGTTTGACTTTAAATCGCGTTATCATTTTCCTTTACAAAAATTTTCATTTTCTTTCATAGGTACAAAACAATGTCATATCTGATGAGGAAACAAAACTGATTTCTAATGCCGTTCCAGCACAGCCAATTAATTACCGAAGCTGATTTAATGGTTAAATGCATGGATTTTATGAGGACCAAATTTGTTAAATCTTTTGAGTCCTCCACCCCTACAGTACGAGATGATGCATCCATGGTATCAGTCTTTAGCCAGACCAGTCAAGACGGAAATCAGTTTTCCTGTCTAGCAGGTTATGCACAGGATCCCAATGAAGATTTTAATTCTGAAAATGAGCCTACAGTAGCAGACTATTGGGACTCTCTCACCAGTCACTTAAGGGACAAGATGAATCCACCCAAAAAGTAAAGATTCCTCTTATCCTACCGACAGAAGCAGCCAAAGAACTTTACCCAAAAGTCTTTGGTTCTACAGTATGTCCTTCATCAGATGACTACTTTCCATCAGATAAGGAGACAGCACTTAGTGGTGGGCCGACCGACTGCATTATTCCAGCACACGATCCCATGCACTATGCGGACTTCAAAATGTTAATTTCAAGTCCATTTTATGTATAAATAGAGGGCAAAGTTTCCCTTCAATGTACTTCAAATTTTCTTTTCTCTCTTTTGTAATATTTCTCTAGCTTGGAAGCTTAATAAAGAAAGTTTTCTGTAAGTCTGTTCAACTCTTGTTTAAATTTGTTCATATATCGATCCTGCATATATATATTGTGATATTGTTCAATAATATACAATAAATTTGGATATTGTTTGGATATTGTTCAATAATATACAATAAATTTGGTATCAGAGCCATTATGGCTTAAATTCTTATTGTTAATGCTTTTTAGGTTCTGGTAGCATGCTTATTATAGTAATTATGTAATGAACAATATGAATATTATTCTGTCTAAATTATGTTTATCCCAGATTCAATTATGGGTCGTCCAAAAGTCGCGTTGGAATGTTCAACCCGTTTTTGCATTAGATTGCTGCACAGGGTATTGTTTCCAGTAAATCGTTGACAGACGAGTAATAAAATCTCTCTTAAGCAGAAGGACGACAGAATAGTAACTTACTGTTCACTATATAATATTATAATATTTATACTGTTCAGACCTTAAAGCATTAACAATAATTAACAGACATGTTACAACCCTCTTCGTCCTCCTCTTCAGGGATACAGGACAACCAGGATTCAGAACTGGTAAAAAATACTGAAGTAGTGGAATGGACCAATGTTCAAAATAAATTGAACAGATGGACTATCCCTCCAGTAAGTGCAAAAAGCATTTACAAAATCGGAATGCTTAATTTAGCTGATCTATGGACTATCAAGACCATGGAACAGACCATGCAATTAAGCACTAAGGATACAATAATTAAGTTATTGTCTTCCCGTGACCTTCAGAGGCACATGCATAAATATAAGTACATCCATATAGGTTTAATTCAAATTGCTTTTAAACCTTTAACCTTGTTAGGTATGGATGCCTGTATTCAAGCAACCCTTAGGGATGCTCGATGTCTGAAATTTCACCCTTCCTTGATAGGTGCACTGGAAACCAGTCTATGTCATGGACCGGTTTATTTTAATGTCTATCCTAGTCTGAATTTATCTTTGACAGATAAAAATATCCATGAGGCAGTTAGTCTTAGGATTCAGACTTATGGGTATGATTATTTACCTGGATCGGAAGTGATAAGTGTTATTTATCGCATCCATTACAAAGTACTTGATTCTATGTGTCCCAATGCCATACGTAAAGATTCTAAAGGAGTAACAGCGTTATGGGACACCAACATGTACACATCAAATGTTGCCACAAAAAGGATGATTCCTTGGAGTGAGATAACATTTCCTGAACACTGGACGATTTCTAATGCCGTTACAGCACAGCCAATTGCTAATCATAGCTTAGACTGTGTTATTCAGAACCAAGATGGTGATATTTTTCTGAATTTCAGAAAATTCATAAATCTATCCAGATCTACATCATCTAAAGGAAGTCATCTTCCTTATCATGTTTAACTCATTTTAATTTCAACACAATTTTGGGCTACAATCCCAATCAAAATATATAAGGGATTGTAGCCCAAAATTTTTGGTAACAGGCCAACACTTGGGCTATCATTACCCCACGTACAATCTTATCCAAGAATTGCAAAAACAAACATATTAAATTCACTTTTTATTTTTTTTTTTCTGAAAAAGATTTTTTTTTCCTTTCTTGCAAAGGTTATCATAAATTTTATTAAAATCAAAATTTGTTACAATTCTCCTTACCTCTAACATAACTTCGTTAGAGAATCACTTAGGGTTGTTACTTAATGGTACTTTCTCACATTTAAAAGTAAAAGACGAGAGTTCAAGTTCTCGTAGAGACAAAGTGAACGTGTGAGTTTTTTGTCAAGATAAAAAAGAAATAAAAGGGTGTATCATTATTGGTCTTGAACTAAGTTTAGTATTACCCAAACATTTCCATTGATTTTTTTTTTTTATATATATAAATTATTTTATTAAGTTGGAACCTAGAATATGAGTCAAACATTAGGTGAGGTGTATGATTAAGTTAGGTTTGTAAAAGTTAGGTTTATATTATTATATAGATATAAGATTGGTCTTCTGTACT